CACGTGCCCCGTCGTGGGCATTGACATCCTAAAATTGCAGGGCCAAAAAGTCATTCTCGCAATTGCTATTTGTCTACTGTCTTGACTGTCTTGACTGTCGGAGACATGCGGCTACGTTGCCATATTTCGGGGAAAATTGGAAGTGTTGGTATTCTTCATGTGTTAGTTGGCTTTGCAGGCATATGATGGCGTTCGGCCTATGGTGTATTCCCCGTTGTTCAGTGTTTCGTGTGTTTTATGCTTCGAATGTAATGGAGGAGCGATATCTTTTCCTTTATTTTGTATAGATTCTCTACCATATGTAACTCCAGTTATGAAGCAATGTTTTCATTTCACTGATCATTATGCGTGACGCCAGTAACTCTATCTCAGCATTCACACAAGCTTTAGTATCCCATGCCTATCCATTATCACTTGCACTGATCCTACAGTGAGGAACAACTTCCAGCTACGTTGGAACGCTCTAAATCATACGCTCATTTAACGTCAATCCTATTCAGAATCTTATGACTGATCGAGCCCACTATGGAAACAGCTAGCTATGCTGGTGCTTCACCGTTTGAAGCAACAAAAATGGCCCTGAACGCCTCAAATCCCTCAACCCTCAGTAACTACATGAAGCCATAAACAACGCGTACTACGACGTCGGAAGGTCGTTGCCATAGCTCAATGAGAGCAAAGCAAGACAAAATACAGCGAAGCCATGCTACAAAATGAAAGTGTAAACCAGTGGCGCAGCCGGCCAACCAGCTAGCTGCCTGCCATCTTCTCTTCGTTCTTCATCCATGTTATTGCTTCCACCATGCGCATTCTTCTGATGTGAAGTGACTCAGCTCGGGGTAGCGTCTTCACTTTCTATTCCCATGGCCCTGACGCCTACATGTTCCTGGTTCGGGCCGGGTAATCACTAAGGGTCCAGTTCGACCTGGCTGAGCTTAAGTCATACTACCGTTACCGTTAACGTTAACTAGTGGTGACTTCCCGCACAACCCCCATAGAAACAACTTCTCCATCCACACGCGAGGGCCACCATGGTGACCAGCCCGGCGGCGCCGAGCATCGTCTCCAACAAGGCCTGCTTACCCAGTGCAGTGCCATGACTCACGAAAAATTCCGTCGGTTTCTATGATTCCATCTCTCCTAACACGACAATAACAACAACACTACCCCCACCATTCTTTTTTCCGCCCTTAACGAACGCAACCCACCCGCAATTCAACCCCGCCAGCTAGCTCGAGCAAAGACAGAATACGTACGCACGCACGCGAGCGCCCACACCCACCATGGCGCATCCCGAAAACCAAGTCGACGACGACGACGTCGCCTCTACTAGCGAGATCGAGATCTCTCCCTTCCAAGTCAGTCGAGAGCTCTCGGCTTCCCTCCTCACGCGATGTCGATCCCTCCTCGCCGAGATTAGCGAGTTCCAGGCCCTGTTGGTGGAAACACAACGTAACCCCCAGATCGTGGAGGTGCGGTCGCTGAAGTCGAATGTGCTGTCGGAGTTGCGCACGTTGGAGAAATTAGGCGCGCAGGTGCAGAAACTGCCTGAGCCGACGAAGGGCGATGGCGATGGGGAGGATAATAATAATGATACCGATGCTGGAGCGACTGATGGTGATGACTCGGCGGCGAGAAGACTGGTTCATACGTTGAAGTCTTCGAATTTGCCGTTTTATGAGGCTGTTTGGGCCATTGCGAAGAATACGTGTCGCGGGTTGGTTGCTTTTGGGAAGAGGTTTTATTGGGGGGATGATAATGGTGATAAAGGTGTTTCGGAGAAAAAGTCCGGGAGGGATAAGAAGAAGAGTGTGTTTGTGGATATCATTGCTGATGATGGGGAGGAGTGGGTGAAGGTGTCTACGGTTGCGGAGTCGAGGTTGTTGTTTGAGATGGCGGAGAAGGGATGGGAGGCTGATTCTGAGAGTGAGGATGGGGAGGCTCGAACGGTTCTACGGAATCATGATGGGGATAATGGTGGTGTGGAGGACGATGAGGATGAGGATGAGATTGAGCTGGTGAAGTTGGCTAAAGATTTGAGGACTGCGGCCAATGCTACGAGAGTCAGGTATAGACATCCTCGGCTGCGGTTTGTGGCGCCGAGGATTCGCGAGGGAAGCTGTGCGGAGATTGATGATCTTTTGAAGATTATTAGAGGCTATGGGATTAAAGTTGATTGTGGTGACAAGGCATATGCTGTGAATGGTACACAGGAGGGCTTGTCCCACCTCCTTCCGAAGCCGTTCAAACACTTCACTTCCACTATTAATGTGGACTGCACATTGATGCTTGCTGCGGTCTCAGATCTCTCGCATTACAAACATATCACCCAGTCTCCGCAGCATCATAAGGCCATCAATCGACAGATCGCCGTGGAGCATGAGCGACCTCTGTTGCCCACGGAGCTGTGGCCTGCGATGGATGCTTATGAACTGGTATGTGTTGAGGAGGCTGCAACACGGATGAAAGAGATCGTCAATATCATCGGCACCGACACTGAGAGGTTGCGCATGGAGATTCTGCTCGGCCAGCCCCCTTACGATACATATAGCCGAGAGGATCTCATTAAGAAATACCAGGAGCTGTCCGATTATGAGATGCCGGCACACTGGAAGATTCCCGTCAAGACAGTCGAGGCAAAGTCGGTGATTGCATCTGCGAAACTGCCGCCCGTCTATCAGAAGGTGGCCGAGAACCTCTCCGATATCAACTATAGTGTGTTTCTGTACGGATGGGCTGCGGGACTGGCGACGATCTCCAGCAATCGGACCGTGGTCAAGGAGATTGAGTCCATTATCGAGAAGCACAGAGATGGAGATGACAGCTTGGAGGGACCTCTTATCTGGGTGTGTGATACTGCCAGGAGCTTGATAGGCAAAGAAAAGAATCGAAAGAACTAGACCAACTAGTTCGAAGACTCTAACGGTAGATCGGACGACAACTAGAGAGATCGAGCATTCAGAGTCGTCTACATCAGACAGCATCTCTTTCCAAATTCTTGCAATTAGTGGTGTTTAGACCAGCAGAGCTCATAGCTGCTGTCGGGGTCGTCTCAGCAGCTGATGGGGGCATGGTGGCTCGCTACTTTTCAGAAGATCTGGAAGTGTCCTCTGGAAGCCAGAAAACAGTCTCTTTGTCGGCAGACGCAATCATGTTGTACCTCGGATTGTATTCAACGATGGCAGTCCGTCCGCGATGTGATAGTCTAGTCATTGGCTGCAATAGACCGTTTGGCTCTGGAGGAGATTGTTGTAGATCCCACACTAGCATGTCGGAATGATCTCCCGAACCACCAACCACGTATCGCCCATCAGGTGAGAAGCACGCATCCCCCTGACCGAGAGGCTTCCCGGTTGTCGATACCGGAGCAGCTCTCCCGGGTGATCCGGCTTTGCCCACCAAGAAGGCCTTGACGGTGCCCTCGAAAGCATCGAGAATGAAATGTCCATGGTAGTCCGTTCCGACCAGCAAGTGCTTGCCATCATTGGAAAATTCTAGGCGAGTCCACCCTCTGCCTCGGGTAGAAGGCGTATAGCGTTCTTCGTACGGCGCAAGATCGAAACTGGAGAAGGGAGCTTTGTCGTAGTTACGGAGGTCGTAGAGAAGGACCGATGCGGTAGATTGGGAGGCAATGGCGATGACAGAGGCGGACGGGTCGAAGGCCACAAGGTATGGAGTTGCGAGTTTCAGCTTTCCTTGCGCATTGCGAGAGCCGAGATCCCAGAGAGCAACTGTGTCGTCCTTGGAGCATGAGATGAAGGAGTCGCTGCCCGGCGACAGAGCTAAGCAGGTGACTTTGTCGGTGTGGCCCTGGAAGTAGCGAATGTAGCCTTCATTGTGAAGGTCCAACAAGCGCAAGGAATCTAAGTCGGTCAGAATAAGGGACAAGGAGGGAGGTGTGTGGCAGCAGACATACCATCAACCTTGGTGCTCGCATGAAGGACCTGGCGACTGTGGTGGGTGAATCTGGCTAGATGGGCGCCGTACTTTTTGCTGGGGACCGACTTTGTAGATTTGCCCTCCTTGATGTCGAAGACCTGGATAGTTTCATCATCGCCGGATGCCACCAAGTAATCACCCTGGTCATCAAAGTCTAGCGACGTCACATAATTGGAAGTATCCTGCTTGGGGCCTCGAAATGCCTATGATGGAAGAAACCGATAATTAGATGAGCGCCCCGGTCCACAAGAGCCATTGGACTAACCTTGGTAGGACGGAAGCTACGAATGATATCCGAGACCTTCTGGCATTGCAGGATTGGCTGCTGAGGCTGCGGTTGCGCCGTTGGCTGTGGTTGACCTTCCGCCATAATTCTTTGACTTGACTAGATTGATAATGATAAAGTGCGATTGCGGGGAACAGGATGCAAGTTGTCAGGATGTCCACGATGTTTAAGCTAGCTTACAATCCAGACAGATCCTTTTGCTTCTACCCGGCTATTTCTCCGAGATTCCTCGACCTGCAAGGATTCCACCCAAACTGACCCGAGTAGAGAAGTAGTCAAGGTCGTCATTTGGAGGAAGCAGACGCGCCTGACGATGGATTTTGACGCGTTTGACCGACTTCCGCGGATGCTTGTTGTTCCGGTCCGACGCTTACCATCGGCAGTGGAGATACCGATTGGCCGAGGTCGGAGGCTCTGGACTGCAAAGTGCGGATCTCGTGGCCAATTACTAACCAATTATCGGCTGCGGAAACCAATCCGAGCGGCGTTGGAACTGTCGGACGGAGGCTTGAATGGCGGAGGGAATCTCACGGCATGAACACCTCAGCTCTGACACCGTTTTGACTTTCTGACAAGTCCTTCGCTCGCCCTACTCTTCCACTGCACCGTCACTGAGTCTGTCATCTTCCCCTCCTGGGGCACTCAGCATCGCTTCACGCAACAGCCAGGTCGTCTCTCGATTCTACCGGCGCCCTTGTCGGCCTCGCTTTTGCCCTTCCGCGCGCAGACTCGGTCCACTTCCCTCCGTTAGCGGAGACGAATCTGAATAGATACAATGTCCACAACAACAGGGTACGTGGTCATGGTGCCTCCAAATTCGTCAGATTACGGTCGCGTTAACGCATTTTATCGTTCTCTACAGAGCATTCATCGCAGGAGGTGTTGCAGCATGCGGAGCAGTGACGGTCACTCATAGCTTTGAGACGGTGAAGATTCGGTACAGTCTTCCTCCCCTATTCGGAGTGTTGCGGATTACTCCTCGCCAGCTGTGTCGCCGGATGCTAATTGGTATACTACGAAAGCCTGCAACTGCAGGGTGAACTGCAGGCCAAGCAGGACGCTGCCAAGAAATACCGGGGTGTCTTGCACGGTGTGAAGGTTATTCTACAAAATGAGGGTCCCCGCGGTCTTTTTCGGGGAATAGGCTCGGCTGTACGTTCATATGTCAGCATCTGACGGTATTTGTATAGCTAACAGCCGCTGCAGTATATCTACCAAGTCCTGCTCAACGGTTGCCGTCTGGGTTTCTATGAACCGCTGCGCAAGGGTCTGGCAACGACGATATACCAGGATGCTCAAGTTCAGTCTCTGGGCGTTAATGTCGTCGCCGGTGCTGCGTCTGGTATCATCGGAGCTGCTGCGGGTTCGCCCTTTTTCCTGGTCAAGACTCGCCTGCAATCGTTCTCCCCGTTCCTGCCCGTCGGCACCCAGCACAACTACAAGAACTCGTTTGATGGTCTGCGGAAGATCCACTCGACGGAGGGAGTTTCTGGCTTATACCGTGGAGTTGGCGCGGCGATGGTACGAACTGGCTTTGGTAGTTCCGTTCAGCTTCCTACCTATTTCTTCGCCAAGCGCCGCCTGATGAAGCACCTGGGCATGGAAGATGGTCCAGGTCTGCACCTGGCCAGTAGCACGGCATCTGGCTTTGTCGTCTGCTGTGTTATGCACCCGCCTGGTATGTTCTACGCTTACAAAACGACTGAGCTCAGCTAAATTGTTTTTCAGACACCATTATGTCCAGAATGTACAACCAAACGGGCAACCTCTACAAGGGCGTGTTCGATTGCTTGTTCAAGACCATCAAGACGGAGGGTGTGTTGGCGATTTACAAGGGATACTTTGCCCATCTTGCGCGCATTCTGCCTCACACGGTATGTGATGTTCGACACCCAGTCTTTTAGGCGATGCACTAACCTGGCTGTAGATCTTGACCCTCAGTTTGGCGGAGCAGACCAACAAAGTCATGCGCAGACTGGAGGATCGGTTCCTCTCTGATTCGTTGAAGGAGAACTTGTAGTCACCGTAGTATAATAGCGACATTGGCATACCCCCCTGAAACTTTGCGACATTTATAGAGACGTTTCGGGACATGGTTTTGGTTCTGCATTGTTGAGCAGCAGCAGCAGCAGCATGGCCAGCATCGCGTGATGTGTATGTACATAGGGCGTTCTGTCTTGGGTCGTCATGCTGTGCTCTTAGATTTGGAGATATATTTGGATAAATAGCTTGAATAGAATTGGAGTTGGCCATGCGCAGTACTTGCCTGGTGTTGGAGTACTATATGTGATGCAATCTTCAAGAAGCTTTAGGAAAGTCCTGTCGCATGATGAAGAGGTATGCGGACGCGCGAGAACCTCACCGGACACAATATGGGGAAATGAACAGTTAATGGGTGTCGAACTAGACGAGCCGCCCAAGACAGGATGTGGATACCATGGAGCTTATAAAAGGAATTGGGGCAAGCAACTACGCGCACTAGTCAGTGGTTCCATGTTGAATCAAGCTAGGAATGATGATTGCATTGCTTTCTTCCGTCGGATGCATGAGCTCGGGATCAGACGCGTCGTGTTTGGTGCCGATGGAACTGTCCATACACGATCCAAAGCCGAGAATGTAAACAACAAAAGAGTTCGTCAACGATGTCCAAGAAGAACCTTGCGACGATGTTACTTTTTTATCTTGCCCTCAAAGAAAACGAAATCTTGGTCTACTGTATAACCACGGATGATCAATGTTGCAGCACGCTCCCGACGCGTCGCAGCGGTAACGTCATCACCGACAGCAAAGACAGGCTGAAAGCCCCCCCACTGGGGCCCAGCTGAAGCCAGCTGAATCTAGAATCAAAGTGGGAAAGAGAAGCAAGGATCCTTCTTCCATTAGGGTCAAAACATCCGTAAATCCGTGGGTGGGTGCAGGCAGCTGCCCAATGTGGATGGGGGGAAGCAAGACGCGACGCGTTCAGCACAGACGCTGTTGCTTCTTGGCCGTCGGAGTAACCCAACTTGGGGGTCGGCGATCCAAAATTTCTTTTCAGCTTCGGATTAAACCGAGTGGAGATGGCGGATGAGCTCGGCTTATTGATGATGTCGTAAAGAGTACCTAAGCAGCTGCAGGGACTGGTAAGACTGTAAGGTACGGTATAGGTGGGTTGGGAGATGGAGACATGAGACAAGTATCATTATCCAATGATTGGTGTAAATGTATAATGAGATGTGAAATCTTATATGATAACTACGTATTACTGAAAAGGGATAGAAGGAGAGATAGTTGAATGGATTGACAGAATCGATCGAGGGGCTCTAAGATGGGAGTTCGATCTGATAAGATAGCAGCTGGTTACGAGACGCGACTACTTTTTCACTAGAGCCTCTAGGCATCGACGTGCTCCGGGCTTGTCTCCAGGCACCCGCCTCTTCAGGAATGTGGAGAGGGACAATTCAGGAAACTTGCTGCAGGTCTTGCAGCTAATGATACAGGAATAATGGGTCAGTGGAGATCGAAACACCGGATGAGAATCCAGCCGGTGGTGTGAGGATGGAGTCTGACTGAGTTCAAGACGTGATGGACGCGCCGAGCATCAACAACCCGCCCGGATCAATAGTTGTTCCCGCCAGCCACCGGGTCCAAAGTCGCGCCAAGTCACGTGCGACGTGACTCGCCCGTCGCGCTAAGGATCACGTCCTCGTCTGCCGGCGAGTATTTCTTGTCGCCTCGCCCTCCCTCGCTGCAGCTCTTTTTCTTCACATCCCACCACCAGCTCAGTCTATTGGAGTGTTTTTCTGTGTCTGTGTGATCAATTCGTCTTTGACTTTTATCTCCTTCATCTACACACAATCAACACCATGTCTGTACAACTCACTCCCTCTAAGCAGGTATGTGATGTCACGTCTCTCGCCTCCCACCCTCGACGCGTGATTACAGCCAGATAAGCTAACACGCGTTGCTTCCATAGGCTGCTTCCTCGCTCGAGAACCTCAAGATGAGCGATTCGCCTGTTAAGAAGCTCAACTTCGGTGGCAAGGAGAACGCGCCTGCTGCCGTCGACGTGACCGCCGACAAGCCCGTTGAGAAGCCCGTCGAAGCCCCCAAGGTCGCGCCCGGTATCAAGGAGATGGAGGCCAGCGAGCCTCTGCTCCAAGAGAACCCTCACCGTTTCGTTCTTTTCCCCATCAAGTACCACGAGGTGAGTGACACGCGCGTTACGCGTTACGCGTAAAGTGGAATTTTTCGCTTCCCGCCCGCGACAATTGGCATGTGCGCTAACGCCGCATTCTCGCACCCGACAGATCTGGCAGATGTACAAGAAGGCCGAGGCCTCTTTCTGGACCGCCGAGGAAATTGATCTTTCCAAGGATTTGCACGACTGGCACAACCGCCTGAACGACGACGAGCGTTACTTCATCTCTCACGTTCTCGCGTTCTTCGCTGCCTCCGATGGCATTGTCAACGAGAACCTCGTCGAGCGTTTCAGCGGCGAGGTCCAGGTTCCCGAGGCTCGTTGCTTCTACGGTTTCCAGATCATGATGGAGAACATCCACTCCGAGACCTACTCTCTCCTCATCGACACCTACATCAAGGAGCCCAAGCAGCGCACCTACCTCTTCGACGCTATTGATACCAGTATGTACCTCCAACCGGGATTGTGATTGGTCAATGGATGCTAACCCCTGCAGTCCCCTGCATTGCCAAGAAGGCCGATTGGGCCATCAAGTGGATCCAGGACAGGGAATCTACCTTCGCTCAGCGTCTCGTTGCTTTCGCTGCCGTTGAGGGTATTTTCTTCTCCGGTTCCTTCGCTTCCATCTTCTGGCTCAAGAAGCGTGGTCTCATGCCTGGTCTGACCTTCTCCAACGAGCTCATCTCTCGTGACGAGGGTCTGCACACCGACTTCGCCTGCCTGCTGTTCTCCCACCTGAACAACCGCCCCAGCAAGCAGGTTGTTGAGGACATCATCGTCGAGGCCGTCGGCATTGAGCAGGAGTTCCTGACTGACGCTCTGCCCTGTGCTCTGCTGGGCATGAACTCCAAGCTGATGTGCCAGTACATCGAGTTCGTCGCGGACCGCCTGTTGGTGGCTCTCGGCAACAAGAAGTACTACAACGCTACCAACCCCTTCGACTTCATGGAGTCGATCTCGCTGGCGGGTAAGACCAACTTCTTCGAGAAGCGGGTGGGTGACTACCAGAAGGCTGGTGTCATGGCCAGCACGAAGAAGGAAGAGGAGCCCAAGACCAACGGTAACGGTCTCAGCTTCGATGAGGACTTCTAAACACCGCAACAAAATGATGCCACTATACCCGGTTGTTGGCACCAGCCACGATATGTTTGATTCTGGGTGTTTACGAGGATATTTGACTATACGCATGGGATTGGCGTTTATTGGATGGGATTGATTCCTCTTTCTTATAATTGTTAATGTTTGACTCTTGTATTTAGAGAAATGTACATTGGATATTACTTGATGGTTTTAATATGCACGTAGCATTTCTATAACGTAATGTCCCAACCATAAGTGCAGGAATCAATGCACCGACCAGATAAAGACGGTTGGCTACTATCCCGCAGCTGCAAGATCAACCATGTATCCTCACCACAATGCTAAAGCCTTACAGAATATGCACATTTTCAAGAAACAAGATATCATCCATAGAAAGAAAGAGATAGAGAAATAGAAAGATCACCTCTTCCCCTTCCCCCCCTTCTTCTTCCCTTTCCCTCCCTTCCCAGCTGCACCAGCATTACCCCCCTCCCCAGCTACCGTCTGTCCCTCAGCAGCAGCAACAGCAGGAGCATCCCCCATCTCCACATCACCAGCACCACCAGCAGGAGCAGGATTCCCCAACCCCAACCCCTCAACATCAGCCCCCGCCGCCAACTTCCCCAACGAGGTAATCAACCGGCCGACCTCGGCGCCCTTGTTCGTACGGTATTTCAAACAGATGCCGGATCCCGGGTGATAGGTCTTGAGTTCGAGGACGGCGATGCGGGGTTTGGGTTCGGTTTCTTCTGTAGATGTGGGTTGTGTTGTCGAGGATGGTTTGGTGGATGTGGATGTGCGGGGGAAGGTGTATTTTGTTGTGATTCTCTATACAGGGGGATCTTTTGTTAGTTAATGTTTAGGTGATAGGTAGTAGGGGTGGGGGGAGAGGGAGGATGTACCGTGTCTGGGTAGGCTTGGAGGAGGAGAGAGGATTGTTCGAGGTAGGATTGTGAGGTTGGGAGGTAGGGCATTTTGGTGGTGTAGGTCCCTCTGATTGAGGAGGTGTGTATTTGGGAGGTTTGGTGTGGGGTTTAGAATTTGAGGGTTGTAGAGTGGAATCGTGGTGTAGAGGTGAACTGGGTTGCTGGTGTGAAGCTGGATTATTTCTGGTGTTTTGCGGCGCCGCTCGGAGGTGGGAAGTTGAAGTTGGTGGTTAGGTGGTGCTTGAGCTAGCGGGCGGTGTGTGGTGCCGCAGTCGATTGACAGCTCGAACACCCATAGTATGCTACAGCTCGGCAAACTACTCTAGTATCTATTATGACTCTAATACTGATTCTGGTCAATTCATCGTTATTCATCAATCGTCCCTCGTATAGATGCCTACTGTTATCCTGTAGGCTATTGTACATACATACACAGCTAATTACATGCTCATATACATCAATCATCCTATGTCCAGGCTCGTCCTGATCCAACATCATATACACTGTGCATCAGCTAATAGGTCGTGCGCATCGCACACACACTAGTCGCTGCTTCCCATTTCTTGCTTTGGTCGCCCGGAAATTCGTCCCCCGGCAATTATCGCACTTCAATACCTCGCCGTCTTCCCCGTCCCCGTTCGACGACGCATAGTCGCTGCTCAGCGCACTGCCCAGGCTCAATTGGCGCTCCCCCGGCACCGACAGTCGATGCGGAGTGAGGAGTCCGTTGCCCTCTTGGCGCTTACGATTCTGCACCGTCATTGCATCATGCGCAATTTTATTGTAGAATGCGTAGCTCTGCTCCCCTTGCAACCAGAGCGGGTTATCTTTGTCGCCGCCCTTGGGGAACCAGGTGGTCCCGGCGACGGGCTGCCTGCTGTCGACTGCAGCACCGTTGTGCCCATTCCGGGTGGTGTCTGCGCTGGATCGTCGGCTGTCCATGGAATTTTTATACGCGGAGGGCGGAGGGGAGGTGGTATAGATAGAGCGTGAATCGGGTCGTGCTCCCGTCGAGACTCGTCCCGGGCTGGCGTAGCCCGGCAGAGTGTCGCGCACTGACTTGTGGGGAGACGGGCTGCGTGTGCGCGGCGTGCGCATGCCGGAACGGTTGCCATGTCGGATAACAGAGTTGCGCCACGAAATGATGCGCTCCGACGGCGTCGTCTTCATTGAATCCTTGCCGATGGAGGAGGCAATGCTGTGGCGCGCCGAGTTGGTGCGTCGTAGAATGCGTCGCGATATCGTGGAATGCGTGTCCCAACTGTCGTAGCGCCGTTTTAGGTAGGCACAGTCTTGTCGCAAGACTTTGATCTTCCCGGCATAGTCTGCCACGATGAGGATGTTCCCGTCCGGGTGCGTGGACCGCGACATGAACGTCGGAGACTCTTGCGCCAGCTTACTAGCCGCCGACATGCGGTTCGCTCGTCCATTCTCTTTGTCCGCCTGACTGACGAGCGTCACGGGAGGCGGATTGCAGATATCATAAATGGGATCCTCGGAAAATCCCAAGACCTGTTTGGCGCGGGTGGGCGCCATGATGGCGGCTGTCACCAGGGCGGATTGTGTGTCGAAGATCTCCACGGCCCGTTTGTCGGCGTCTTTCTCCACGGGCCCCACCGGCCAGACATAGGTGCGGCGATCCTCACTGCCGCAGATGATGTGTTTGCCGTCATTGCTGAAGGAGGCGCGGATCTGGCTGCACGTGTTCTCATTGCCGCGGTATTTTGCCTCCAGCGTCCGGTCGCGAAAGTTGTAGAGTCGAATGCGGGAGTCGTTGCTGGTGATCAACAGTTTGACCTCGCCGTGCGGGTCGCCATGCGGCAACGACATGGTGTCGATTCCGGTGATTTTGCTGCCCTTGGCGTTGCGACCGCGAGCAGAGCGCACGTGAATCTGTCCAACCGCCTTGAGGCCGTCGGTCTCGTAGATATTGCAAAGTCCGTTCAGACTGCCCGAGATCGAATGTCGTCCGTCCGGTGTGAATGCCACCGCGGTAATCATGTCGGGGACCGTGGCCACGAAAGCCACGCTCTTGTCGGGAATACTCCAGAGTCGCAGTTTCGTGTCCAGCGACCCCGCTAGGAAGAACCGGTCATCGCGTGGGTGGAATTGGATGGAGGTGACGAAATCGCTGTGTTGGAAGCAGCAGAGACACTCGGGTCGGCTAACATGCCACAGCCGGACGGTCTTGTCCATGGAGGAGGAAAGCAGGAAATTGTTCTGTCGCCCGCATTAGTGGATGCTACGCATTGCACCGCCTATAGTCAGTTTTCATGGTACCTTGCTCCAGCTGAGGTCCAGGATACTGCCGGTATGGCCCTCGTACACCTGGACCGGTTGCGTTTTGAACACTTGGGCGTTGAGTCGTGGCGCATCGTCGTCACTACCCGGCTCACTGGAGGTCCGATCCTCTGGCGACGCCACGACTTGCCAGACGCGCACCTTGCGGTCCTGCCCGGCGGCAGCCATGTATTTGCCATCATTGGAGAACACCAGCGCCCAGATCGCCTTGCCCGTATATTTTTCGTTCTGCGGGCCTGCCGTGGAGATGGCGTCATGGTCCGAGACGCTGGCCGAGTCGTCGGCGCCGTCCAGCTCCTGAGCCAGGAAGACCCGGTTAAACGTCTTCTCCTTCTTGTAGTGTGCGCGCACGCGGATGTACTTCGGCGGGGGAGGAAATCGTGGTACGAAGCCTATGGGCTGAGCGGCAGCGTCGGGATCCATGCGGCTGGTTTCGGGCTCGGAGACATCGTCTTCGTCGTCCGGGTACTCGGTCTTCTTCTTGCCGGGGATGATTCGACTCAGGAAGGATACCCCTTTCCTATGAGGGAAGCCCACCGAATTAGCTGTAGGTTCCTGGGCAGGAACTGCATGGGATAAGAAGCAACGAGCGACGGGTGACACAGTGCGGGGTCACGCCGTCAGCCGGGGCTGAGAGGGAAACATTGGCTGACTCGGCACCGGGCGAGGCCAAGTGGCACTTACTTCTTCTCCTTCGGAGCCTTCGTATACATCGCGGTCTCTCCGCGGGCAGAGCCATGGTCCAACGAGGCGCGTGGATCGCTTCCGCCCAGCTCCGCCTCGGTGGAGGCTCTCCCTAACAGCTTCAAAGGAATGGTTTTTTGGGTGTTGGTTCGTTTGATGATATGCTATCGCGACGCACAGAGTCAATCAACCGCTGAGGCGAATTCCAGAGGCACAAAAGACACAGTATGAGCCTTACTTGAGATAGGGGATCGATGGCGCTGGAGTCGGCGCTGGAGTGGACAAAGGTAGGGGAGGAGGCGAGATTCTTGACGGAGCCGTTGCTGGCGGCCGGAATGGTGCGGGAATCCTTTCTGGCATGCTGTTGGTATCCGTTCGACGCAGCGGTCACATCGGAGGCGGAGCCTGCATAGGATAATCCCCCGGGCGGAGGAAGAGTAAGCCAACGATGCTCACAATTGTGGATTTATGGATTGGGCCCGGTCGGAGGGTATGGAAAGAAGATGACTGGCCAGCGCGACCGGGGCGAGCCTTGCGGGAGGTAGGGGAGGGAAGTTCAAGTAGCAGCAGTAGTAGTTATGGTTGTAATTGGGACGTACCGATCGGAAAACTTTGCGAGGAGCGGAGGAGACTAGGATTGGGAGAACTGGGACTGTGATCGCCGCGATTGAAGATGGTAGGACTATTGGAGGCGGAGGTGGACAGATCGTGGTGAATGATGCTGGACGACGAGGCGTTGGTGGTGATGATGGCAGGCACGGTCGAGGCCCGCGATGGCCCTTCTTGCTCGTCGCGCATTCCCTCCGCCATGGCTCGGGTGTCGCCGGGAATGGCGCATGGGAAGTGAGTTGGTTGGAAGTCAGACTGAGGGAGGACAAAGAAGGTGGGTGTGTGGTTGTCGAAGTAAAAAGGTATCTCTCGAGATAAGGATACGAGAGAGAGAAGTAGAAGAGAGAAAGATGAGGGAGAGGAAAGAAAGAGCCAGATTGCGGCGGAGGACGCGGAGAGATGGGATGGGGATGGGATGGGATTAAGGATGGAGATGGAGAATACTAGTAATTAAGATGGAGACACACTAACTCGGACACCGGTTATTAATATCCGAGAATATCCACTTAGGAAAGATGACATCAAGTAGGGTCTGGAAGTTGGTTCCATTCCCACTCCCACTTGGTATTCACTCCTACTAATTGTTTCAGGTGATGGGGAGCAAAATGACGGAAACCCTGGGTCGGATGGGAGGGCCGGTCTGTGGTTCTTGTCGAAGGTCTGTGCGAGTTTGTTTTGTTGGAAAATGAAAGGTGAAAAACCGTTGGATGCATGCATCATCTTCAAAGCTTGACTCTTATCCAATCTGCATTCTGGTGGATAGAGTCAGTGATACAGTGGTTATGATATGATAGGTCTTGTCGCTGTATACTAACTTGGGGATAAAACCCATCATGGATGAATTCCTTCCTCTGCCCACATGGCTGACACATGGCTGGCAGTAATGTAACCAACCACTCTATTCTTATCAAGCCTGGGTAGGTACTTATGGGTATAAATAGTAGTTACTAGATACTAGTTAACTAGTAACTACTACTAGTAGTAGTCAAATACGAACTCAGTCCAACTGAGTCAGAGGTGTTTGTTCTTTCCCCCCCTCAAGCCAAGCTTAATCCACAACTGGCCAATGAAGGCAAAGCCGTTGGTCGCACTGCTCGGCTGGCCTTCCTGGACTGAGTCTTTGGGGGTTAAAATCAGAAAGTATCTCGGATTCCTCCACCAATCGCTACTTTTTTCTTTCTGCTTCTTCTTCCCTCTCAGGGTCTGGTCTTAAACTTTCTCGGGGTTGCAGTCGCATCGCATGCGTCCTTCTACTACTACTCCTTCCTGAAGTTTAATATTATCATTATCACACCCGACTATAACACCCGAGTGGCTATGAGTTTTTCCCATGATTCGTATTGCTCCATCGTCTATCTACTAATCAGAGCTTACACAATCAAACCCCCACGTGCTCCATGATACATGAAAAGAAAAAGATCGGAATCAGTTGCACCAACAATCCCCACCATCAATCAGATGGTGGCCCACTTGCGCTTTATGCTTCCTCCACCATCGCCAACTCCGACTTTCCCCGTTCTTGTATCGCTTGCACTTCGATTTCCTCATCCTCCTTCTTAGCATACGCTACCTGATAAACCGTGTACCACGGCCGTTGGAACAGTCCATCCAGTGCCTCGAGCGATCGGCCCGTCGTGTCCTGTGTGCTGTCAGTTCCCCGTACCCTCCACCGTCACCCAAGGAGTTACTTCACTTACCGGCATCGCAAAAAACACATACACCAGCGAGACAAGGCAGATGCCCGCAAAGAATGCAAAGGCTCCCCATTCCTCCATTACGTCCAGTAAGTCAGGCGTCGCCCGCGTGCACCCAAACGCGAACAGCCAGTGCCCCGCCATCCCCATCGACAAGGCCAGCGATCGGATCCGGATGGGAAAGATCTCCGATCCGATGAGGAAGGGCATCGAGAACCATCCGATCACCCACCCAACCCCGTGCACAAAGATGGCTGCGATCGCTGCTCTCGAGGCATGTGTCGCGCTGGCCGCGTGGAGGATGGTCGTCGTCGACATCTGTCGCGAAATTCCCAGGTAACAAGCAAGATATGCCAGCGTCACGATCTGAAGGGTGATTCCCGCCATAAGAGACCGTCGTCGGCCTACAAAGTCCACTACTACGAGTGAGAAGATCAGCAAGGCGGTAAACTTGACCACGGCATAGAGGGCCGTAGTCAGGGACAAGGCATCCCCGGTCGTCCCCAGATAGCCTAAGATCGTGGGCAAGTACTGTGTGATGGCGTTGCCTCCGGACCATTGCGAAAACAGATGTGCCAGCATCACTAGACAGAACCGACGCCGGTTCTCCACCGGGACAACCGTCTCCTTGATTAGGTGCCATTGTGATGTGCCTGAGGCCGCTTCTCGCTCCTGCAGGATCTGAAATTCCATGACAGCAATCTCTGCGACTACAGTTGGGTGACTCGAGGGCAAATGACGCAGCTTAGCCAGTACCGATACGGCCTGGGTTCGCCTACCCACGTACAGCAGCCACCGGGGAGATTCTTCACAGACCAAGAGTCCCAGGCCCCAGACTGTGGCAGGGACCAGTTGGATCAAGGTTGGGAGCATCCACTGCATATCTGTTCCATCGTAGTTCTTAGTAATACCATAGTTGATGAAGAATCCAAAAACAACCCCCAGTTGCTGACATGCGGCAAATTGGACTGCGAGCAGCCCGCGGATGGTCTTAGGGGCAACCTGCAATACAGTCAGTCTGTCCCAGTCCCCTTTCAAGTATGATTTGCGTACCTCGGAGATATACATCGGAGGGGTCACAGTCAAGCCGCCCACTCCAAGACCCGCGATCAGTCTCGATGCGTATAGTCCGGACAGGTTCCCATTACAGAGACCCTGTCCCAACACTCCAGAGATATATACTAGGGTCGACAGTCGCATCGTCCACCGCCGCCCAATTCGATCATTGAAGGGTAAACACTACAGTAGCTGTCAGCCCGACATATATTCATTTCCTGAGTAGATAGCTTACTAGCAGACAGCCCAGAGTCATTCCAGCTGTGAACATTGACACAATCCAACCTTTAGTATTGGCATATTCGTCAGGGGATTGCTGGCCGAGCCCGAATTTGATCCGAAACCGAGATTGCACGACCAGCGATGCGATGTTCGCTGCGAAGATCAGCACCCTGCATGACATATGATCTTCACTCTCTACCTTCATCGAACCCCCTACTGATTCCAGAAAGTGCGAAAATGGCAATGTTCATCAGCAAGTACCAGTTAAAGACCCCCCGGGGGGAGTCCCGGATGGCCTGTCGGGTTTCCGCAACGAGCCCCATGGTTGGATTCGATTCCTCCCATGAGGGGCCCCATTAGTGAGCTTATATACCCAACCGAAGCCACTCAGTATGGCCGTCTCTGCGGCAAAATCGCGCAGGGCCGTGGTGTGGCGGAAAATATCTCATGACCTCTCCAGCAACGATTCGAAGTAAGGAGCACTCCCTCACGGAGGCCATCGTGCGTTTGGTATGTGCTATAGCCGAGTTTACCAGGGTCTAGACGGCACTGGGCTGGTTTGACAGGTTCTTATCGGCGAACACGATCGGGCCTCCGCATTCCATGGGTGCCTTGTGCGACCTGGAAATGCACCATAGGGGATATAATAGTTGATACAGCATGGCGTTACATTGCAAGTTCGAGTCCGAGTTGCATCCTGAGCCAGTCCAACTGGAAATCGCGGCCTCTTACTGGCTTTTGTCAGTGCTGTTGTTGCGTTATATGCTGGAAAACCCTGTCCTCCCTGCCGCGGATGCAAGGGTCAGAAGTGCTTGGTGTAGTTGTGGAGTGCCAACCGGGTTTTCCAAGGTCACAAATCCGGCTACCACTAACTATCGGCCGGTAACAGCCGATAACAGCCTCCATGACTGGGATGTTAGAAGCTTGATTTCTCGTCTAGTGTAACAGATGTGCTGCCTGAACATCACCTGCCTGCCTGATACCTCGGCTAGAAGACATTCCTGGCACATTTGAAAGTCGATAGCGTAACGACCGTCTCTGTTGATGTAATTGATCTGCAGTTGCATATCACGTAGCATATGGCACGTTGAAATTCCGTGATCGACCGGTAGTCTATTCTTAGCCGTCGGCGCTTACCCACGCTTCCCCGGTTGTCGATCCATCGTCAATCCCTCAACCCTCTTCTACCTCCGTCTACACACTCCTTAGTCTATAATCTCACCACCATGTCCCCTCCAATCACCAAAACTGCTCCTCCACCTCCACCTCCACCCCCATCAGATCCCCGCACAAAATTATCCCCGGTCATACGAAATCTCCGAACCGTCCCGCCCCGCTCCCTGACCACCCCTCAACCACCTCCCCCACCCACAACAACAGCCCCAACAGGTCCATACTTCCTCTACGGCACGTTGATGGATCCTTCCATGCTACAAGACATTCTATCCCTGGACACAGATCAGGAGATAGATCTACGACCTGCATATGTATCAGGCTACGCCTGTAAACTGTGGGGACAGTACCCGGCTCTAATACCGGATGATAATTCTTCCTCGGTAGTCAAGGGGGTCGTGTATCGTGTGGCGTCTGTGGAGGACGGGGTGAAGCTAGCGCATTATGAGACGGGGTGGTATCGCGCTGAACCTTGTGAGGTTGTGTATACGGATGGGAAAGAGCCTGGGAGGGAGAATGGACATGTGTTTGTGTTTGTTGGGGATAAAGGGGAGTTGAGTGATGGGGTGTTTGATCTTATGGTTTGGTTGAGGAGGATGGGGAGGAGGGGGGCGTTGGAGAGGTTGGATAGACTGGATAGGAAGTGAGTCCGTTGTTGTCTATACCTGATTTCCTGACGAGAGATATAGTATCTGGAGCAGTGTTGATCATAGTAGCTGGTTGCGACTAGTCGAACTGCACTTGCATACGCCGCGTCTTCCTGCTACCAAGGTAGTCAAGCTAGGCTTTATAGAGGATTTGTGCCCTTTCATGAAGGTAAGTACTTTACATATTCCTGATAGCGTATCTCGACAAACGAAATCAATTCTAGTTTACACTTCAGTTATATATTGTTTAACTGCACATCACAGCAGCGCCTTAGCAGGCGCCGCCGCCGCCAACACAGGCACCAGATCAGGATCACCCTTCTCCATAGCCCTCTTGTACGCCGGACGCTGTCCGATACGCTCCAAATAGCGCACAATATGAGGATACTCCTCAAGGCTGTAGGGAACGAACAGCCGCAGCGTCGTCAAGTGGAAGACAGACACGCAGTCTGCCGCGGTGAACTCCTCTCCAGCCAAATATGTGTTCTTGGCTAGTTGCTGCTCCATCGCCTCACAGGTGGCTTTCACCCGTGATTCAGACATCTTGTAGACAAAGTCCTCTTCGGATGGGGTACCGCGGATCCGACTGAACAGCATCCCCATGAAGGATGGCATTGTCGATCCCTGTGCCCGGTGCAGCCAGAAGACGTAGTCTGCGTACTTGGGGTGGTCTGGGGATAGAACTAGACGGCCCTTGCCGTATTTGGTCAGGATGTATTCGATGATGGCCATGGTTTCGCCTAAGGCGACGCCGTTGTCTTCAATGATGGGGGCAGTGCCGGACCAGTGGAGCTTGCGGTACTCATCTGGGGCTTGGAGAGTGGGCGGTTGGCGGTTGTAGCATTTCAGAGTGTAGGGAATCTCGAGCTCCTCGCAGAGCCAGGTGATTCTCTCAGATTGAGAGAGCCGGAGGTGATGGATTGTGAGACCGGACATGGTTGGAATGGTGGTGTTTATGCGCTAGAGTTTGAATAGACAGAGGCCGGGATACCGAAGGCTGGGGATCCGGGAATGGGTTCCATTTGTATTTATCTATAACATGGGGACCCTCGTTGATCGGAAGCCGGATGTTCTTGATTAGTGTTAAGCTCCGGTCGGATTGCCCTGTTGCCGAATATCAGGCCAGAAACATGGGACAAAAGTGGATCCAACTGAATGATTGAGGATTTATGCATAAAGCAAGTTCCACATCTTTATGCTGTCTCTTTATCACCGGGGGATCATCATTGATCAATGTAGCTTGCATGATAGATGATTGTATATGGCCCCATTATCAAGTCATTTTACTTAGGAACTCATCATCATCTCCATGTTCTATGCGAGTTGCTAGCCCACTTCGGTCTCCGTGGGGTGGGTGGACGGGCAGCACAGAAGCATACTCGGGTGGTCTGTACTCTGAGCAGAGTGAAGCTGAAGATTAAGTAATCGATGAAATAGACATTCCTCCGGTATTCTGGCCTGAGCCTTCCTGATAAATGGCATGGGGAAAGTTGGTGACTTCATCAGATGCCCTAGGTGCATGAAGAGCAAAAAGAAGCAATAAGCATCGGGCTTGATCTCAAGGCCGATCGGGTGGCGCTTTAGTCATCTCGGGGCTTGGAGCCACTCCGATCGAGGAACTCTCCTTGAGACAACCAATCGATCACAGAACTGATCTGTCAATTTAGGAGATTGATAAGACCGAAACCCGAGAGGCTGATTTAATCATTCACATTAAGCTGTTGATTACGCGAAGATGGTCTTGGAAGGCATTGGGTTACATCATGTCGTCTTTGTCTGCTTCTCCTATCTCAGGATTTATATATCTCGATAGAAGCTGCACCTAACTCGACATCAATTGATCATCATCATCATCATCCAATACTTGACAATACTTAGTACTATTTTCAATAGAGTTACACGCATCGACCACCCCACACATCCACCATCATGACCGCGGTTCTGATAACAGGCGCGACCGGCAAACAGGGAGGCTCACTCATCCGAAACCTCATCGCCCGAAAATCTCCCTTGGAGATCTTAGCCGTCACGCGAGACTCCTCTTCTGCTTCGGCTCAACGGTTGAAACAGCTGTCTTCCAACATCAAACTAGTCGAAGGCAACTTGGACAACCCGGCAGACATCTTTCGCAATGCGCGCGCTCAGACATCGTCTCCGATTTGGGGTGTCTTTAGCGTTCAGGTAGGTTTCCTCCGCTCTTTCAATCTTCATCCCAGCAATGAGATACTAATAGTGTCTGCTAGGTGGCCATCGGCAGCAACGTCGATGAGGAAGCACAAGGAAAGAAACTGATCGATGAGGCCCTCAAGCAAAAAGTCAAGTACTTCGTCTACAGCTCCGTGGATCGAGGCGGGGAACGTTCCTGGGACAACCCGACAGATGTTCCTCACTTTCTGAGGAAGCATCACATCGAGCATCATCTGGTGGGCAAAGCTAAGGGAACCGATATGGACTGGGTTATTCTGCGCCCCGTGGCGTTCATGGATAACATGGTCCCCGGTTTCCTGGGCAAGGTCTTTGCGACGTCCTGGAAGATGGCACTGAAGGGGAAGCCTCTTCAGGTGGTTGCTGTCAGCGACATTGGTCACTTTGGCGCAGAAGCTTTTCTTAACCCGGATGAGTACAAGGGTCGGGCGATCTCGTTGGCGGGAGATGATTTGACATTCGATCAGATGGCACAGGTATTTCAGCAGAAGACCGGTCAGCGGATACCCATGACATTTCAGTTCGTGTGTTCCTTGCTGCTGGCCGCTGTCAAGGATATGGGATATATGTACAGATGGTTCCATGACGAAGGTTACCAGGTTAATATCGGCGAGTTGAGGAAGAAGCACCCGGGATTGAAGAACTTTGGGGATTGGCTTGCACAGGAGAGTGATTTTGTCAAGCGATAGATCATGCTGGTGCCTATTTTCGGTTTTACGTGATATTTTAATGTTTAATGCTGTTTGTTTTTAATTATGCTCTTGATTTGAGCAATCTAATCCTGTCAAGTATTCAATATAGTTGGTTTCCCATGGGTACAAATGGGCTCAACGACACACTGAATGTGTATGTGAATGCGAGCACCAGGATGGGGCTTCTCATATCGACGAATAACCCCTGCTAAAGTGTAACCCTCAAACCAGACCATATGCATTAGCCACGATAATCTCCTTGAGGCTACTCCATCCCGGCTTGCCCATCTCTTTAAGTAGATCTTCCGACCGCTTCGAAGGCTTAACATCCAACAAATCGGCATCTTTATCGGGGCCAGGCAGATCTGTTGGCAGCTCGCGGTTCGGGAATATATCCCGATAGATAGTAGCTAAGTCGTTCCAGAAAAACGGCCAGCCATACGCAAACAGGCGTTCGTTTTGGACCGTGGGATTGATCAAAGCCGCGACATGCAGAAGTGCGACGTCTTCAATGCCCACACAGTACCCTCCTTCAGGGTGAATTAGCTTCCATTCTTCGTATCGCTCGGGACTACGGATGTGATTCAAACGCACCAATTGGGAGATGGGCCTTCACGTGTTCGGAAACTGAGGCCCAGTCATTTTTGATGATGGCTGCTGGCCATGACAGAGTGGAAGGAAACCCTTGATTTTGTGGGTCGAGAGAGGCACCATAGCACAATGAGGGTAGAACTGGACATGATGGTTTAAATCAATGGAACATATTCTGAGAGTGGAAGGAGAGACGTGCTTACCGGTATTTGCTACGAACCCGGGCTTGTGCTCTCTCACCCATTCCCAGATTCCTTGCTCCCCAAAGGCCTTGCTTGCGCTGTAGACGTCAAATCCTCTTCTCCATTCGGCAGGAGACCCCGTTTTGGCTCGCTGAATGGCAGTTTCGTTCCAAGTCTCCGAGGTGATCACTGTCTTGCCATCCAGATCATCCAAGCCCATTGTGTTAGCCGCTTGGCAGGAGGAGGTGTAGACAAAGCGTTTGACGCTGGGCTCGGCTGCCGCGGAGGCAAGGACATTGTGATCCAGCCGTTTGATGGATTCGAATATCTCATCCGGACCATCGTTTGGACCGGCAAAGATGGTTACTACATGTGCCACTCCCGAGACACCTTTGTATTGTACAGTTAAGCACCTAACTAGTGAGGTATCGTAGTGAAAATGTAGAGTGTACGGACCTTTCATAGCTTCGTCAAAAGCACCCGGACGCTGTATGTCCTGGACCTGGACCAGCTCAAAGCTGTCTTTCCCATACTTGTCACGGAAAAGATCTCCGATCCATTGGTGCCTCTGCGCATTCCGCACGGTTCCCCTGACACGATACCCGCGACTAAGCAGCCGATCGGCCACATTTGATCCGACCAAGCTATTGGCCCCAGTAACCAGGACCCATGATCCGTGAGGGATAGCTGATGTTTCAGAGATGGTCATTGTAAGTATGATGCTTCTGCAACGGTGTCACGTTGAACGACGGCATGCCCAGAGCGATCAGCGAAACTCTCGCTGTTAAAAGTATCCCAGATGCCACGTAGTGCGGTGGAATAAGGTCCACCCAGTGATTCAAAAAGAACTCACTACTGTATTGGTGTAGAAGTAGTGCAGCAGTGATGACTCCACTGATAGCCACGAACACAGACCTTCATTTCATGTCTGCCTGTCTTATGGAGCCCGCTTTGCCATTTTTAGGGATTGGCAAGGGTCGGAGACGGGAAGCACTCGATTGTACCCACCAGTCCTCGGAGGAGGGAAGTGTTTAGTCGAGAAGTTACATGAGGAGATTGAGATTGTGGACACTAGCGTTATTGGGGACCTCGAATGTAGGGCAAGCCTCGGGTGATCATGTGGATTTCGATGCCCGCTCTCTCTTGACTTCTAAGCACCACCAGCATCACCAACATGATCTATTCGAAAATATTAGCTTAAGCGGGTTGACTCGGGAGACACTGGCGTGAGTGGATGTTGCTTTCGGGAAACCGACAATTTGCTTTGAAAATCATGTGTTGTGCCTGCTTGCTTGGATCCCAGATGAGGCAACCCAATCAGTAAGTCCCTGTGAAAGTCGTCGTTCCTTGCGGGCATATACCGAGATGCCCTTCTTGCTCCATGCAGTCAAGGTTTCGGTGAAAATGGCGGCAGCAAAGTTTATTTCGCATGGCGGATAATATCAAAAACTCATCCAAGATTAGACGAAACGTCCCGCAAATTTATCGTATTGATATAGTTAGTCCATGCTCTAGTAGTTCATCGAGATGATCTGTTGTGCTTGTTATTGTTGCTTATCCAGTAGCCTGTTGATGACCTGTTGATGACTGCGAGGGGGAACAGGCAACAGGGATGAATGAGTCAAGCGGGCTAAGGAGCCGCTAGTGACTTAGTAACTGTTAACTAGTAACCACTCATCGATCAAGTAACGAAGTACTAAAAAGTGACTCTGGATTGACCCTCACTTTTCCCCGCAAAAGCAATTCATTGCTCCCCCTTCCCCAAATCCACCCTCCCCCAAGGCCCATCCACCATGTCCGAATCGGTCCCGGAACTACGCTTCCGATCGGGAAATGTCCCAACGCGCTATTTCAAGGCATGTCGCTGGTGTCGCAAGCAAAAAATGCGCTGTGATGCCCGAAATCAGGTCCCTTGCGCCCGTTGTCGCGCCGTGGGCCGAGATTGCATCCTGGATCCGGTCGAGAGCGCAAGGCGACAGAGTACCCGGCGGTCATCCCCGGCTACTCGTCCTATTAGGTGAGAGGAATATACCTCTCTTAGAGCATCTTCGGAATGAAACCGAACTAATATATAGCTTGAACACAGGCGCCAACAGGCAAGGTCTCCTTGGACCGAACCACACGGCTTCGGGAGTCCTTCTCCTAGAGAACAGGATTACTCTACATCCACCACAGTACAAGATGTGCCAATCAACGCCTCGCTCGATTCGCTCCCAGAGTCTACTGCCGCAGCGGATTTGAGTTCGCCTGGAACAGCAGAGCGACATGCACCGGAGCCCCAACAGTTGAGTCCTAATGACATGATCGCCCCGGTTTCCGTGATGCACTCCATGTCGGTCAATTTACTGGGATCAAGCAGCGTGAGTAGTTCGGAAGTAGTCTTCAGCTGCAGATTGTTGATGGTCCGCAGATCTTCATGGACAGCTCCAGCAAAGCGGATCCTAAGAGCGATATCATCGCCCGTGGGATCATCAGTGAAGAGCGTGCACGCGTGATGTATGACCGGTATGGTATCTCCCTGAATCGGACATCTACTGATTCAACGCTAACGGACTGTCAGCTTCATGGGTGGCAGTAAGAACTTCCTGGCACTGTTTGATCCCATTCGGGACACGTTCGATTCGGTCCGCTCTCGCTCCCTTTTCTGCTTTTCAGTCATCATCTACCTCGCTAGTCGGGCCGTGATGGACTTGCGGAGTGATACCCATCTTCAACGTGTTCTTCAAGACGAAGCGCAGAGACTGGCCGAGGATAGTTTTTTTGAGCGGCCCACCAAAGTTGAAACCGTACAAGGCATGATTTTGCTGGCTGCCTATTCTGAAAAGACGTGGTTTTCAACCGCACTCATCTTGCGGACCGCCCTCGATTCCGGGCTGGAGAAATCTCTAGATGCCTTACTGTCTCAGGAAGACGTACCACGCAGTTCTTTGTCGGCTTCCATGGAAGACCGTAAGCTTGTGTGGCAGACCAGGACTTGGCTAATCAGCTTCACACTAGAACTAGACGTGGCATCCGGAACAGGCCGCAAGTCACGGATCGATGCAGTGGACACAATAAAATTGCGCAAGTTCCTGGAGTATCCGCTATCCTTGCCCTGTGATATGCGCACCATTTCCATCATAGAAATCCACCAGCTCCGAAGTACTACTATCCCCCCGAAAGACTGAATATCTGCTGATCAGAGTCCAGGCCAATCGCGCATGTCCATTGAGAACGCCAAGACAGTTGATGAAATTGTATTGGTTGAGCTGCCTGCGGTCATGACAAGACTGCAAAATTGGTGGAACACATGGGATGAAATCCACGGCAGTAAGTGCTCAGATGCAAGAAGACCGTCAGTCATTGGCCAGTAGTAATGAATTGTAGACAACGCCTTTCATGCTGGTGCCTTCCAGCGGTGTAGTTTGAAGTTGATGTTGAACTACGCCCGAATCTTCGTCCTATGCGCCTCCTTGGCTCGGATTCAGAAACTCCAATCCGGTGCTGCCGAGCCCAACTCGGAGACAACAGGTGACAAGGATGTCTCACATTTGTGGCGCGCTCTCGCGACAACCATCATGGATCAACTGGATTGCTTCATTCAAGAAAGTGCCTACCGCTGCCAACTCACGTGGGCTCCTACCTATCCAGCTCTGACCCTAGCCTTCGTCAGTAAGTAGCACGAGACTCTGAACATGGAGGCACGGTTTCTTTTCGATAGGTCAGCTAACTTGAAAAGCAACGTTCGCTCTCCGGATTGCTCGATGGCGTCCGGACTTAATCGATCAGGATCTCCTCCTTGAGAGGGCCCAACTGATCTGCGATTTTCTCAAGCAGCCGCCCTATCCGGACATTCACCGTACCGTGTCCATCTTCGTCAACTACGGTCGCGCCCTAGTCGCTAGCCAACGAGGGCATGCGGACTACTGTGCAGAAGTGATAAAGCCCTCAGAACAAGCCAATGGGCAGTTCTCATTAGGTAGAGGGACATATGGGGTCCCGGTGGATGTGTCAACTTCTTCCGGGATGGCATCCGAACAGGTGAATTACCCGGCAGGCGCAATGACCCCTCAGGCCGACAAGGATAGTGGTGCCGCTGGGGTACCCAATGCTGAAAGAACTGCGCCTGGCAGACAGCTCCCTGCCAGACTGCCGGGGCCAATGGAAGCTCCTAATTGGTCGATGTGTAACCCCATTGCCGATTCATTCGGCTTGTTCGAAGAGGAGCAGAACGACATCTTTGACTTCTTACCAATGATGCCGTCCATTCCACAATAGTCCAGTGGTGTAGCACTGGTTGGCTACCAATGGAAGAACTATATCCTTCATTCATGAATGACGGACGTGTCCCCCTCAATAGACGTGTAAGCTGGGTACGCCATCAGGAATTCGACACATTCGGGGTCAAACCATGGACTACACGAGGCGGACAACTAGGGATGCTCGTCGACGCTAAAGGTAGAAAGATAGCTCGAAAATGCGGTAAGGAACTTCCAGGGGAATATGTGCGGTGCTTGCGTTGCCGAACCCAACCTGCCGCTATCCACCCAGCAGGAAAATTGGCGCATAGCATGCCGCTTGCTGATCAATCCTTGATGGGAAAAGCTGGATCTGATCCACCGAGCTTGGGCAGACTCGCCAAGGACCGACATTTGCTTTCAATGACAGATGGTGTGGCCTTGAAAGCCAATTTTTGAACCCGGCTCCTGATCGGCGCCGTCGCCGGGATGCTCTGTAGCCCCGGTGCCGGACCGGCCCCGATGCTGCAGTTGCAGAAGATGAAGATCCAACATCGCTCATTGGGCCACGAGGATGTATTGACGGTCCAGATTGTAGTGGACTCTCGTCCGCGAAAGGCCTTTCAGATAACTGACTAGACTAGTCAATCATTGTGGAAATTCAGTGACTCATTTCCTACTATGAGGCCTCTATAAGGGTTTAAAGTCCGCGCGTCTCGTCAACAATTGAAGGAGACACCGGGAAGTTCAATTTGAAAGGGGCTCAATCTGCTGTGATACACGACGCGCAAGCCTCAGCCATGGCTACAGAACGCTGTTTCACTGCCCCCATCGGAGAGATCGACCATTCCGGTATGACCTCATCGTTGCCTGTCCCTTGCATTGCTAACCCTATTTACCTATCCCCTGAATAGATCCAAATTGGAACCGGAGGAAAGATGCCATTCCATCCACCATCGTGATAGGGAAAATGTGGGCAGACAGTGAAGGATACAGATTCACCCGCTTGACGGAAGATCAAGTCCTTGTGGACTTTGATCATGATTCTGCGAGAAATCCAATCAATTGGACTCATGTGAGTAATCAAAACGACGGGCTATGGGTGCTTAAGCTGACATCAAGCCATCTGCGACAATTAGGGGAAGAAAATGTTCACCGTTCTCACAGCGCTCTTCCTAGTGCTCAACTCTGGGATATCGTCCTCTTTACCCAGCAATGTCGTTCCAGCGATGATGCGTGAATTCAATGTTACAGGTGACATGCAGAAGGTTCTCCCCACCGCCGTCTTTCTAATTGGATATGTCGTGGGTCCCTTGTTCTTCAGCCCACTGAGCGAGACAATCGGGAGGAGACCTGTTCTGCTTGGTAGCTTCACCGTGTTTCTTTTGGGCACGATAGCGTGTACTTTTGCCCCAAACTGGCCAGCGATGTTGGTGTTTCGATTTATATGCGGAGCCATGGGGGCCGCTCCTCAAACCGTAGTAGGTGGAGTCTACGCTGATATGTTTGAGACTCCACGTGCTCGGGGCCGAGTCATGGCATTTTATATGGCGGTAAGCTGTCCCCAAAAATAAAGATGCAGGAATGGCGCCTAACTATCACCTAGGCGGCGAGCTTTGGTCCAATTATTGGTCCCATTATTTCCGGGTGCAGCGCGCAGTACGGCTGGCGATGGACATTCCGCATCGACCTCATCCTTGTCGGCTGTAGCTGGCTTAGTTCGCTTTTCCTGCCAGGTGCGTGAGGGATACAGCTCTGTCATCTGCTCTGCTGATTCTCACAAGGAAGCTAACGTCCAAGCTAGAGACATTTAGTCGGGTCATTGTGAAGAAGCGTGTTGCCATACTAAACAAGCAGTCATCGACCCATAGCTATGTCTCTCAGCGAGAGCTTCAGAGCACCGCAATTCAGCGTAGCTTGAAAGAGACCTTGACAAGACCCATCACCATGATGTTCACTGAGCCAATTATCCTGTTCAGCGGAATATATTTAGCTTTTGCTTATGGGCTTATTTTCTTTTGCTTCCAAGCATACCCTATCATCTTTGAAGGTATTATTCATTCATCTTTCTCTGTCAAGTGCATAGATCGACGAACCTTGGCGTGTGGCAGTCTGCTGACTCGAGCAACGCAGGGACCTACGGTTTTGATGTAAAGCAAACATCGCTTTGCTATTTACCCAGTAAGTGCCTATCAAGAAGAAATCATGATTACCACCTACTAAGCCAGCTAGTTGGGATTGGCGCAGCATCTTCCGGCATTGTCTCACTTTACTACGACATCATCTATGAGCGAGCCAAAGCACAAGGGAAAAGATGGACGACCATTCCGGAGCTACAGCGACTCCCGGTAGCCTGCATTGGCGGACCTTGTCTTACCATTAGCCTCTTTTGGCTAGGATGGACCGCCAATCCGCAGATCTACTGGTTGGTGCCAGTGCTCTCGGGCCTATTTTTTGGCTTCGGATACCAGATAATCTTCATTTCGCTGTTGACCTACGTCACAGATGCGTACAAGATCTATTCCGCCAGCGCCCTAGCAGCATCTGTAATCACGCGGAGTATTCTGGGTGCCGTCTTCCCCCTGGCAGCTGATCCAATGTATTCGGCCCTTGGAGTCGGATGGGGAACATCGGTCCTGGGCTTTGCAAGCCTGGCTTGCATTCCCATTCCGGTGGCCTTCCTCTATGCTGGAGAGTGGATTCGCAAGAGAAGCACATTCTGTCAGCAGCTACTGAAAGATGAAAGTGCCACAGAAGATAATCACGCCACACGCCCTGTGACTCCGGAAGCCGTTTGAGTTCTTCGTGTCACCCAAGAAGGTTTCAGTCTCTTGTTCTCCGTCCATCGATGGTGGAATGTTTATACCTCATATATCCGAAAAAGCTTGTTGTGTTTTCAGATCTCAAGACTGCACGCAAGACAGCCCACTTCTGATGACTACGTTCCTCGACATGACTGACAAGGAGCGTTCTTTACCTACGACAGTCCACTCATTTTCTTCTTCTTCCTCTTTTCTTTCTCGAACAGGATATTTAATTTTACCATATATACTGACGACATCTGCCTTGCATAAATGTTACACAGCAACCGTTGAGGTTGCGCCGAGGGTGCATGGAAGTTTTGGTTATGGATAATGAATTTCGGTAGCATAGAACTTACGGCCTAATATGACAGATAGACCTAGATCACCTAATGCATATTCAGTTAGTCTTACTGCACGCAGTTTCCAATATGTATGCTTTCTGTTGATTGCTGCCCACCGGTGGCAGTAATAAGTTGACCGACATGGCTCGGAGCTCATTTATGTAGAACCACCGGGCGTTTCACAGTGTCATGTCAGTGTCACCCTGTCACTAGATATTCTGCAACTTTGGGACCACGGGTGTGTTTATATCCGTGATTGCGAATCAATTTTCAGGAGGGTGGCTTCATGTCGCCTCTTTCTCATTTTCTCTTCCCCCCTACAATGCCCGCACTCCTTCTTTCTCACTCCTTCTAATCATCTGAAAAACTTGCCGATTCATCGTCTAGGACTTACCACGTCGTCGCGATCGGCCATGAGACTTGCAACTTTCCTCATTACATACTTGGTTACAATAGTGAGCGCCCGAGAGTGGGCGATGACCACGGACATCGGATCTCAGCAATTGGACAACGATGACAAGATCGTCTCCATGACGGAAGATGTAGGGTCTATAAGCATCCAAGGGATAATGTAAAAAGACACAGCTAATTGATATGCGTAGGATGCGGTCGAAATATCCTACAGGATTGATTGTGACGACAGCACTCAAATGACGACGTGCGATGCGGCCGAGGCAATAACTGTTGTTGATGATGGACCACAGACCACTGGTATCCCAGATGGCTTGATAATTGTTGACGGAGACGAGCTGATATATTCGTAAGTGCCTGCGCCTGTGTTTGTTCTTTTTACTTGCCCATTGAATCTAACTGTTGAAGGCCTGTAACGAGTCCCCAGACCATGACACAAACCTTTGGGGAGGAGCACGACACAGTATCCACAGATACCACACCTGAATCATTTTCGACCGAGATCACCATGTCGTGGAGTAGCTCCAGCCTAGCTGTCTCTACACACATGGTGAGTTTAACAACAACCGGATCGGTTAGTGACACTTCAAGTGTAGGGTCTAGTGTTGGGAGTATTCAAGGCAGCATGAGCCTTATGACTACTCAGAGTCGGGCATCCAGTGCCTCGACCAGCTCGTCGGTACGCAGCACTGGAGCAGCACCGTTAGCAACGGGAGAAGTGGCCATTATGGCTGGTGGTGCTGCAATGGCGTTGCTGGTAGCTGTGTTGTAAGGAAGTACTTTGTGGGGTTGTGATACTGCTACTACTAGTTTTGAGGCATAAGTTGTTATGAGAGCACAAGTCTGTATCGAGATGCCTTGTAGTGGGGACAATTGCCGACCAACTAATCATAATGCACACCACTGACTCTCTGCCTCCGCCCTCATCTTCATTCCAAGATCGTAAACTGACTCTACGATGCTAATCAATGCACAGCTGATCTTTAACGCCGATTGCCGATCGCGTAATCGGCCATAACTCCCCGCAGCATCACGGCCGCCCTCTATAAGTGCTTTCCAACCTACTACTCCCTCCTGCACTGCCCATTTACATATCTCATACTAATTATGACAACCGCTCAGCTACAACCAAGCTTCTCGGATCGAACCGATTTCGACAACGCCTCTCGAGGCTTGATCGGATCCCTCGAGCCCGGCGTCATCCGAGCAGCCGATGGTCGACCCGTCTACAACAATGACGCCTACCACTTCCTGCAAGAGTCAGAATGCCCGGCTACCGCAAACCCAAAGCTATGGAGACAGGGTCAATTAGCATCCATGCAGGGATTGTTCGAAGTCACCCCTGGGATCTATCAAATTCGCGGCCTTGACCTCGCCAACATGACTGTGGTCGAAGGCACCGAGGGAATTATCGTCATTGATCCTCTAACTTCCGTGGAATGTGCTGCTGCTGCTCTAGCCCTGTATAGAAAACACCGTGGCGATAGACCCGTCACTGGGGTGATCTACTCTCATTCCCATATAGATCACTTTGGCGGAGCGCAGGGCGTGCTCCCTGCCGCTGACGCAATAAGAGCGAATCCCATACCGATCATCGCACCGGAGGGATTTGTAGAAGAAGCTCTAAGTGAGAACATGTATGTTGGCCCCGCCATGCGTCGTCGCGCCCAATACATGTACGGAGCTCAGCTACCCAAGACTGCCGACGGGCAAATTGGATGCGGCATTGGCATGACCGTGTCGTTGGGAACAAACTCGTTTGTGCCTCCAAACACAATTATCACTTCGACTGGCGAAAAACGAACAGTAGATGGTGTACGGATACAATTCCAGCTTGTGCCCGAGACGGAGGCGCCCGCGGAGATGAACTTTTTCTTCCCCGATCACCGCGCGTTGTACATTGCCGAGTGTGCAACACACAGCTTGCATAATATCATTACGCTGCGCGGGGCTTTGGTGCGCGATGCAAAAGCCTGGGCGCGGTATTTGGATGAGTCGCTGGTCCTGTTCGGCCAGCAGGCGGAGGTGCTATTTGCGGGCCATAATTGGCCAACCTGGGGCTCCCAGCACATCGAACAGTTGCTATCCGAACAACGAGATCTGTATGCCTATCTACATGACCAGACCGTGCGGATGATGAACCAGGGTCTGACTGGGATTGAGATCGCCGAGACTTTGACTCTCCCGCCGGCACTGCAGACTGCATGGCATGCTCAGGGGTTCTACGGATCGGTCAGTCACAATGTCAAGGGAATCTATCAGCGCTACATGGGATGGTTCGACGGGAACCCAGCACATCTATGGGAATATCCACCCGCCGAGAACGCAAAGAGGTACATTGCCTGTATGGGCGGCATTGACGAAGTGGTCCGCAAGGCAGAAGGGTTCGCGCAAGACGGGGATCTCCGATTTGCCGCGACGCTGCTGGGACATGCAGTTGCACTTGATGCAGAGCATGAGCAGGCCCGACGCGCTCTGGCATCAGTGTTCGAGCAGTTAGGGTTCGGAGCGGAGAACGCGACCTGGCGGAATTTCTACCTCTCCGCGGCGCGCGACTTGCGCGGGGAGCACCAGCAGCCAAATGCAAATAAACTACCGTCGAGGACCCAGAGTCGCCAGTTGAACCCGCGCCAGTCGGTGGAGCAGTGGTTAACTCTGTTGTCGGTCCGGCTGAATGGGCCAGCCGCGGCGAGCGAGGCATTTACCCTGGATGTGCATGTGACAGATGAGAAGCAATGGTGGAGACTGATGGTTAGCAACGGTGTCTTAACCAGCAGAAAAACCTCCGATCGGGCGGCTATTCAAGGCGAGACGCGTTTTACAATGTCTTTGACGAAGCAGCGATTGTGCGAAATCCTGAGCGGCAATGCAGACCTTGGCGACATCGAACAGGAGGGCGATGAAGCATGGCTCCACCGATTTCTGTCTTTGACAGCGTGATCCGATCCGGCAGTTAAGCTGCCCGACCTGTCTATAAGAATGCTATTGGATAAATCATCATCCAGGTTAAAACACCTGCTAAACAGCGTTGCTATTTGTTGTGGACCAATTGTTCGAGTTTCACCATCCCGTGTCTGAGAAAGCCCTAAGCAAGTCGTCGCAAGCGAAGGGAGAAAAAACTGCGCCGCTAAGAGTCGCGAGGCGAAAACGTTGAGAAGGTGGAAAGCGTTGAAGTTTAAATTTGTTCCAGAACAGACTAAGCGCCGAACCATCGGCCGAAGAAGCGAGACTAGACTGTAGTCGGCGAGGGATCAACCCGTGGGGATTGACGGTGCATCTGTATCTTGCAGGTGTCAGGGAGTTCAAGTCGCCCGGGAATCTTGCAACGGCGAGAAGGATGATTATCTTGATCGTAGAGGCTGATAATCAATGCTCAATAATCACTTTTCCTTGATTTTTCCAAAATTCTTCAGTCAATGTGTTCCAAACTTCCACCACCAGGCAAATGCTGTGTTTGGTTGTTTTTGTTGGGAATTCCCCCCACTGCGAACGGGCGGATCCGTGGAAACTGGCCTCGACTTTGTCCGTTTTCCGCACGCCACTAACCCCCCTTGTCTAACGCTGATCCTTTGAGTTCAGATTAGCTGGACTTGTCGCAGAAAATAGTACTTTGTAATAATGGGGAAGAGGTTAATGCCAATAGCGTGGCTACCATGGGTCCATCTCTCCAAAATCAAAAGACTTCAGGAACTGCGTTCCCCTGATTGGACAATGGCTGCGTAAGTCAGGAGAAGACCCTTTGTCTTTCACAAGGAAAATTTAGATCCCCAATCGTACAAGAGTCGCAGTGTCTGACGCTGCTTCTTTGTTTGTTTCTTTCCTCTCTGTGCGACTCTTTTGAATCATGGCTGAACTTCGTAAAGTGCCTGCCAGCCAGGCGGCGGTATGTCTATCCCTTTCTTCAGCACACCCCCTTTGGAAAGCCCTAATTGGCTAACAGCTCTTTTTTTTACTTTGACAGCAGCAGCAGCAGCAGCCCATTCACAATGACGACAATGTTCCCAGTCTGAAGACCCTGAAGGATGCCATTCCTGAAGAATGCTTCGATTCCTCCGTCGTCACCTCCCTCCTCTATCTCGCCCGCGACATCCTCTACTGCGCCATCCTCGCCTACGGCGCCTTCCACATCCACCTCCTCCCCTCCCTGCCGCTGCGCGCCCTCGCCTGGGCTGTCTACGGCTTCTTCCAGGGCTGTGTCGGCACCGGAATATGGATTCTGGCCCATGAATGCGGTCATGGTGCCTTCTCCAAGCACCAGACCTTCAACGACATTGTCGGCTGGGCCGCCCACTCCTTCCTGATGGTCCCCTACTTCTCCTGGAAGATCACCCATGCGCGCCACCACCGCTACACCGGCCACATTGAGAAGGACACCGTCTTTGTCCCCTGGACCGACGACGAGCTGGCCAAGAAGAAGAACGTCCGCATCGAGCAGCTCAAGCATCTGACCGAAGAAACACCCATCGTCTCCTTCCTGCAACTCATCGGCCACCAGCTCTTCGGATGGCAACTGTACCTCTTCCTGAATGTCACCGCCGGTCCCAAGAGTCTGCCCGAAAATCGTCCGATCCGTGGCGTGGCCAGCCACTTCAACCCCGTCGGCGACCTTTTCACTAGGTCGCAGTACTTCAGCATTGCCTTGACTGATTTGGGTCTGCTTATCATGGGTTCAATTCTGTACTACGCCTCGACACAGATTGGTGCATGGAATGTCGCCCTTTTGTACTTTGTTCCCTATCTGTGGGTGCATCACTGGCTGAGTATGTCTTCCCCTTCTCTCCAGAGATCGTCAAAGAGGCAAAACTAACACATAAAACAGTCGCAATCACCTACCTCCAGCACACTCACCCCGCTGTCCCCCACTACTCCGCAGAATCGTGGACCTACACCAAGGGTGCCCTTGCCACCATTGACCGGAGCATCGGCTTCATCGGCCGCCACTTCTTCCACGAAATCATCGACTACCATGTCGTGCACCACCTGTTCAGCCGTATCCCCTTCTACAAGGCCGAGGAGGCTACCCGTGCTATCCAGCCGCTCTTGGGAGCCAACTACCACGAGGAGAAGGAGAGCAGCTTCTTGTACTCGCTCATGACTACGTTCCGCAAGTGCATCTACGTTTCGGATGGCAAGAAGAACGGCGTGTTGCATTTTGTCCTTCCCGAGGAGGCAAAGTAGGGATGCATGAATCATCTGGGTGAATGATTGTTGTGGTGTTTAAGAGTGTGGATTTCTAGTTACATAGAGTACGATATGCATATAGACAGTTGATAGACTTTGATAAGCGATCACAATGTATGATAGACGCAAGACTACTGTTGATATTCTGTCTCCGATAGAAGGACTAATCTCATAGTCAAATAATTGACATCACGCTCAGCGACGCAAAACATCCATGATCTTGGAGCCCAAACTCTGTTGGGCATCTCTCTCCTTCTCTTCTACTTTTGCTGCGAAACATCAGCATGGTCCGACCACTTTACAATAGAGACTTACTTTCGTAATTGTCAAGGTAGCTTTCAATATCCGAATTCAGATTCTCAATGAGCCTAGCTTGGAAAAGCTGCACCTCTTGTCCTTCGGGGCCTACGAGGATGGCCTTATACCAGTCGGCTCCATCGTCCCGGTCATTACAGGCTCTGATTGCCAGGCCATGATTCCAAGTCATCGCCCAAACTTTCGCCGAGAAGCTCGGTGGGGCGCCAGGCATGTTGATGGAAGCTGTCAACGTGTTAGCTGGAGAAAATGAGTGATATGTCAATGAGATTGGAAACTTACCTATGCAGCAGAGTATAACGAAGAAGGATAGGGAGGGTTGCGTCGAGGAATATGAACTGAGAGTGAGATCGATTTACGAAAAACGTGTTGATTTCCACATAGGACAGAAGATATATTTGGGAGAGCTTATATAGTTGTGTCTATCTGCTGATAGCAATTTGGGGTCGGACTTCTCCGTGTTTCTATACTCCTGTCAATCAATGATTATCGTGTTTCTTACGCGACAATAGAACCTAACTACTGGTTATGTTCTCGAGTGAGTAGATAATGAGTGTTCTATGTTACATGGGTATGGATATGGCCGTCGACAGCAAGACTTCATCCATATATGAATATCACACTTTCTAACAGTGAGACATACTGCAGAATGCCAGCCTATGCACACACAAAGAGAAACGCGTGATCGTATATTATAACTATGTATGAAGGCAGTCCCCGGACAATGCCTGCAAAGAAATGCGACCTATCGAAGAGCACAGCAGCATATCAAAGAAACCACTTCCCTACGATAGCATGTATCACCATATCACCTACACATGATGGCTTCGACGCTGCTAGCCAACAGCCTCCTGACCAACATCAAGCAAAATCTCCCCCTATAGCATATGCCATGTCTCACTCCGTAGGCATTTCCCTTCCCTTCGGGCAACTTGCGTACAACTTCCATTCATCCCTTTGAACATATAAGACGACTCTGTGTAACCCTTCCAATCAAGTACATGCAAAATCCCTGCACTCCTGCACAGCTCTTACCCAATCAACAGCCACCATGCCCCGAACGCGTTCCCACTCCATGCCCTACTCCACCCCCTACCCTTACATCCCAACTTCCTTATACACCCACCCATCCGTTCCCTTCTGCGTCTCCCCTACCATCAACTACTGCCAAAGTGACGCCTCCTCCTCTCCCCCGCCCAGCCCACCCCATTCCATCACCCCACGTCCCCTCTCCCCACCCCCACAGCAACCCTCACGCCCACCACCTCCACCTCCACTCATCCCTCGAAACAACTACCCCAAACTCTACATTCTCGACGGCGACACCGCCGCCGGCCTGGCAATCCGCTACTTCATCCACGAACGGGGCGGCGTCCGCGTCCGCGCCGGCTTCATCGACGTCCAGCTCAAAGACCAAATCCTACCCTCCTTCATCTGGGAACAGGACCATGCCGGCGAACTCCCCATGCTATTCCTAGACAACCCGACGCGTAGACCCGTGCGAAAAGTTGTCGGCTTCGAAGCCATCACCGAGTACATAGATAGCGTGTCGCCCACGGATCGCTACCTATATGGGAATACGGAGCAGGAGCGGGCGTTGATCCGCTCGTGCATTCACTGTCTGCGGCGTGATGTGGTTGAGCCGCTGTATGAGTGGAATAACCATTACTTGGGAAATAAGACTGGTGAAGAAGTCACTGGGTATGCGCCGGTTCCGGGTCGGAGGAGGGCCCTGCAGGAGAGAATCGAGATGACGCTGGACCAGGTGGAGGAGAACTTGGAAGGGTTGGAGTATCTCCTTGGGAAGTTCTGCGCCGCCGATGTGTATCTCTTTGGGATGGTGGTTGCGCATGCGGATCGCTGGCCGTGGTTCTTTGATGACGAAAGGAGACCGAGGATCTCGGATTACTTTGCTAGGATGAGTGAACGGCCTATGGCGCATTTGGCGGATGAGTTTTGGGATACTACCCGGACGACGGTGGTGGACTAGGGTGACGTTTTGGGTTATATATTTGGGGCTTTTGCTTTGTATATACAGACTGTCTGGTATTGTGCGGAGTTGACTTTTGTCCATCTTGTTTGCTTGTTTTGAGTTCGTTGAGTAGTTTACGTTCAAGTTTAATGGTCTCTTATATATATCAATTGTCCATGGTTTGGGTCATTTACTATGACAGCCTCCGGGTTATGAATTTGAATATACAGCAGCGTTAATCCTGATGACTTTGCTCTAACTAGACGAGAAGGCTGAGTCAGTATAGGAACCCGCTCGGGTCGTATGAGAAGATTTCCTCAGAAAGTACCATTAATAGTATCATGGGTATCGACTTGACTCCCGGCATTCTCTCCGTTAGCGCCGTTGCTGCCAACAAGGGCTCTCGGTGATAAACGCATTATCATTGGCGGATGTGGGTTAGCGTCTTGTGGCGCCGCTGCAGCATGTTAAGGATTACAGCATCATAGCATCGGGACTATAGCTAACTCCGGGCTGCAGACTGTCGGGCAACTACTTAAGAACGTCACAATGGCACTGAAATTCTCATCGTTTCATTTCAACAAGCTTCGGAATCGTTGTTGAAATGTCGTCCTTTTCCGCACAGTCCACCAGTGAAGAAGTCTGCCAAGTCCTGGCGGACCACATTAAAGGGAGCAATGGTATGTCCAACTATCCCTCCTCAGTTTTCCGAATGAAGGAAGGATCTAACTCTCTTAGTCCTAATTACTGGCGTCACGCTAGACAGTGTAGGCGGCGAGGCAGCTCTTCAACTCTCCCGTCACCAGCCGGCTCTCCTGGTCCTGGCCGGTCGCAACCTGCAGACTCTCCAGGCTACCGAAAATGCCATCAAAGCCGAGACACCGGATGCAAATATCCGTCTACTCATTGTAGACCTGAGCTCGCAAGAAAGTGTCCGCAATGCAGCTGCAGAGGTGAACAACTATCAGGAGCGCATCGATCATCTTATCAACAATGCAGGCGTCATGGCGGCACCGTACACGACTACTCCAGAGGGAGTGGAATTGCAGTTTGGAATAAACCACATCGGCCACTTTCTTCTCACTAACTTGCTCTTGGAGAGAATGATAAGCGGAGGGTCTAAGGTTCGGGTAGTGAACGTCAGCAGTGCTGGCCATAAGCGTGGACCTGTCAGGTTCGATGATGTGAATTTCGAGGTTTGTGTTGTCCCAGAAAAGATCAACCCTCGTATATGAACTGATGAAGGAAGCCTTGGCTAACGCTCGGCTAGAACGGGAAGTGCTACGACAAATGGCAAGCATACGGCCAAAGTAAGACAGCCAATATGCTCTTTTCGGTATCACTGGCGGAGAAAGCAGGGGAGAAAGGGGTGGAGTCATTCAGTCTCTATCCTGGACGACGGGAGACTGGCATTGGAAGACATTTGAAACCAGAAGAATGGGTCATGGCTGGTATGTAGAATTTTGACGTGACAGACATTGTTTGGTAGTGAAGGATGCTAACCTGAACATAAGGATGGAAACATGAGGATGGGAGCATCAACGATGACCCCAAGCTGAACTGGAGAACAGCCAGCCAGGGAGCTTCTACCTTGATTGTTGCGGCATATGATCCAAGCATTTCTGGTAAGCACGCTCCACCAATACTGAGGGGTAGATGTTGATAGACTGCAGACAAAAACGGTTCGTACATGGTCAATAACCAAGTAAATAACGGCGAGGCGGTCGACTACGCTCTGGACCCGAAAAATGCGGAAAAGCTGTGGAAGCTGAGCGAGGAGATCGTTGGCCAGAAATTCGAATACTGAATGCTTCCTATCATATAATCACCGTACGCTGACCGAATCCATCTTGTTCGTTCCAAGGTGTCCCGCTGTGAGATGGATAGGTGGTAAAATGTGGATAGGGTGGCTTAGTTGTCTTGCTTGGCATCGTAAGTGAAAGAAGCTTCTGTTACACTCGAGAATGTATTTTCTGTGCTGCTTGAAGTACTGCCGCTGCCAGTATAGTAGTCCCCAGCCCCTTGCCTGCGCATCCGACCTGGCACTGTGATATGCGGTCAACGAAGCGATGGCAGAGACCGGTAGCCTTCGCCAGACGTCGCTCTAACATCGTCGCGAGTACATATTGAGAATCAGGCATTCCTCGCATTACCTTGGCTATCGTAGCATAAATTAGTGTCAATCCCAACCAGTAAAATAATAACGGCGGTATATCATCAGCATTTGGTATAACCATTCTCTCTTCCGGTTTGCCACACGGTGTAGGCATGGGCCCCGCTGTGGGCGGCACGATCATAAACATAGGATGGCGACATTCCGACTGCCACTCGTGATACCAACTCAAGAGATTTTGCTCGAGGCTGATTAACACTTTCATCAAGTGTATCGCAGAGTCGCATGTGGTCTTATTGCGATGAAGCTCATTTTGGGTGTACCTGTGTAATTGGCCTAACTTGTACAGCATATCAAGAAGTATGTCGAATCTATTGGTTGACGGTTCGATATGCGAGAGTAAGGACAAAGAAGGCTCATGCTTGACATTGGTACACATGAGAAGAAACTGGGCCCGGCTTGTCAGATGCATCAATCAGGAATAAGATGAGCCTACCTCAATAGTACGGAGTCGGCGCAGATCCTGCGTGTTGAGCAACTCCGTTGCAAAGTTGGATTCACTAGCTAACTTGCCGGCTGCCTGGACGTGGACACTCCATGCATCTTCCTGTCCTGACGGTTGTGCACAGACCTCGTAGAGTGCAAGGATCATGGCAGAGCGAACGAGATCAGAGACGTAGTCTATATCGGTTAGTGTACATATTTGCTGTATCGCTTGCACGTAATGGTGTCTGCTGTATTGTGCCAGGTTGTGATCCTTTCGCAAGGAGGCCACATGTGCAAGTGTCAATGCAGTGAGGGCTGTCCTGACGACTGGCAACACCGACTGACTGAAGGAAGGAAATAGTTTTACCCAGTGAATAGGCGACTGGTCCTTTGAGTCTGGAGCCTCTGGGGGTAAGTAGTCGCGCAGGAAGATCGAGACCAATTGCTCCTGGTTCTGGGCCACTATCAAGGATCGATTGTTCAATCCAACAATGGTGGTGTCCCATAAAGGAGCGCGACTCCTAAATTCAGTCAACAAAGCTGTCCTCCAGGTTAGATACCGAGTAGTAACTCACAGGTCAGAGTAACCTCCACAATCGCGGGCTGAGGATTGACATCCCATACAAGCTGGCCGGGTCTTGTCGCACTAGCGTGCCCGGAAAGTAAGGCATCAGCACCAATTGTTTCGGCTGATCGACAAAAATCATCGCACCTTGACCTTGCGCATCAGACAAGTCCGGCAGCTTTGAGCCCTCCAGGTGCTTCGACCCATCTTCCACGCATGGGCCTGTCCTCAAGCTGTGCCGTTGCATACAAGCCGGATGGTTGTCAAGAAGAAGGGAAAGCGTGAGGGATGGCGAGGCTGACGGCTTAGCCGAACGCCGGCACATGACTACGAGAGCTGATCAGTGGACACTAATTTATTTTAGCTAGTTATCAGAAGTATCGCACAGTGCTTGCTTTACTTCTGCTGCTTAAAATGTCTGAAAGTTTACGTGTTCTCCCCATTCCCAGGAATGCCCTATCAAGACTCCGAACGTCCCGAAAACACATCCATCAGCTGCAACAGACTATCCCATCGGCCGTCCTTTTGAACCTCAATCTTGCCCTCCGGAGTCATCACCTTGTACTCATCTGCCGACCGTGTACCATAGTCATAGTCAGGCTGGTCGTTCACAAAGGCTACTAGATCTCGGATCCAGGCGTCCATCAAGACGCGCTCTGCAGGACTGGGTCCATGCATGATTGAGTAACTGGTTATTGTCAGTACTGTCTGTAGTCAGGTAGGGCAGGCTTGCTTACTTCCATATGGGTCTGTCCATGCTGTGGCTCACTCCAAAAGATGCTGGCGCTACCTTTTCAGTGATGAACGACAAGCGGTATGCGATGAGATACCGCCAGACATCCTTGAGATCCGCCCCATGCTCCAGGAGATTGTTCACCAGAAACCTGTAGGGCGCTCGGACCTGCCCGTCGGCGATGATTTGTCCGAATACAGATTGCCATTCCTGCTTGTCTGTGGAATCTGGTAGGACATAATGGCGTAGTAAACGGTCTGTTGTGGCAGGAGAATAATAATTGGACACTTGCAGTTTCAATGATTCCAGATTGGCCTCCGGGCCGTTCGTCACGGCATACAGTGTGTTTTCATCTCGGACTTCTCCAATAAACAACCGCAGGCCACGCCTCTTGAACTCGGCGGCGAAAGATCCATTGCGATAATAGTCAAAGACGCCTGAATGGATGAAGACACCATCCGTGACCGGTCGGAAGGTGTGGTATTTGAGTTTCATGATCGCATCACACAAGTCTGTTGCACTGATGGCTCGCAGCTTCTTCAACTTCTCTGCCCCTGTCAGGTCTGCTGAAATGCCAAAGTGCTGACACAATTCATCGAACTGTGGCTCACAATCCTGTACTGTCTTGGGCTGGGACGGAATCGCGTTTGAGTGCAAGTACAGTCTGCGGAACTTGTTGCGCATAGCTTCCTCCATCTCGCCCCGGAAGTCATACAGAACTTGAGCTTGAACCGCATAAGCGCCAGCACTGCGACCCGAGATTGTGATGTTCTCCGGGTCGCCCCCAAAGGCAGCAATATTCTGGTACACCCATTCCAGGGCGAGTCGCTGGTCCCAAAGACCATAGTTTCCGACTTCTTGGCCAGCTGACTCCTCTCGCAATGCCTCGCCTGCCAGAAAGCCAAAGACATTCAATCGGTAGCCAACTGCGATGAAGATGGCATTTAACTGTGCAGTGGAGATAAGTTCTGTGGGGTCCATTCCCGGCTCCTGGCTGGGGTCGCCAATCTGGAACCAACCCCCATGAAACCAGATGACGACAGGCCACCGGGGATTGCGCACTTGGGGGGCAGGAACGGGTGTCCAGATATTAAGGCGTAAACAATCTTCACGATAGGTGTGTTTAGGTCCACCATGGGAACTGACGGCTTTGGAGTAATTAGGCTGCGGGCATACAGGGCCAAATCGCGTCGCATCATAAGTATCCCCGGGCTGGCCTGCGGTGAGCTGTTGCAAAGGGTAGGGTTGAGGTTTTCGCCATCTCAAGTCGCCGACCGGGGGTTGGGCGTAAGGAATTCCGGCGAAGCGTCTCGACTGAGTGCCATTTTGCAGGCCTTTGACACAGCCACTTGTTCCCGGCAATAGGATCTCACACTCGGATGTTTGGTAGGAGATGTGGTTCCCCATGGTGTTATAATTCCGCTGGTTTGTCTTTCGAAAGAACCTGGGAGTAGAAAACACGGATAAGAACAGTAGCGGACAGGGTGTTGAAACGAGGGGTAGTCAAGAATATATGTTTGCTAGTAAAGACTACGATAGGTGGCTTCTATCTAGTCTAGATGGTACTAGTTTAGGTCGTAGTTTAGTATTATCTGCCTGCATGAGGGGTTGCGGGCGCCACAAGGCCCTGATACGCTCTGATTGGCCGGTGGGCTAACGGTGCTTGTGTGAGATAAGATACACAAGATACTGGGTTTGGAGAAGAGATCGGCAATCCGAGACGCGTGAGGGGATTCAAGCCAAGGGGGTCCATGAAACTGATGAAACTGTGGTCCTACTGGTTCAGGGCACAATGTAGGCATCCGCCATTCTTGGTCGTTGATCCGTCGGCCTCTATTTTTAGGCACCGATCGATGCCAGAACCCTAATTAAGGGGACAGGGACGGTGTACACTCAGGCTATATGACCCTCCTTCGGGCTGCATCTGTGGCCGACCAAAGACGCCAGGAAAGGCTTTCCCTGCGGGGACTTCTGATCCAAGAAACCGACGCTTGTTGTTACCTCTGGAACGTTTAGAAAGAAGGTTTGGGCTGGCGAAAATTTTCTGCCGACTTCACGTGATCACAAGTGCCTCAGGAGCCGATCCCAAAGGGGGCAAATTCAGAACGAATACGATGATCTTAATCCTCCACACCAACCATGAACGACCAGCTGCCTATGCAGATTCGCTCGCGAAGATCACACAATAAATCCCGCGCAGGATGTCAGAATTGTAAAAAACGGCGTGTCAAGGTAGGCCTCCCACTGCTTCCGTCGGATGGAAACCGGACGAACACTGTCAACCCTCCACTGTACTATATATTACTCCCCTCCTACCACTAGTATACGGCATCACTAGGCACAATGTTGTCTATCTTACGTGCCTTGGCTTGCTTCATTCCCAGATCTGCCTCATATACCCCTCTCTCTGGTCATACTGATCTTCGCCAGTGTGATGAGAAAAAGCCACATTGTACAAAATGTGTGCGACACTCGATCGAATGTGATTTTGCTTCCCCAGCCGCCTCGACCTCCCCCGATCCAACCCGCCGATTCCGGTTTCGACCATCCAAATATCAACCCGGTTCAAGAACATCATCACCCAGCACCCGCACAGAAGCTGTAACAAGCTCAGCTGCATCCGCATCCACTGGAGTGCAATGTGATCTCGCTGGAAGTGCCCTGTCCGGTGGCATCTCGTTTGCCGACCTGAAGCTCTATCACCATTTTGTGACCTCAACCTACAAAACTCTTGCAGACGAGAAAGTGGACCACAAACGCGTCTGGTCCCATCACGTTCCGCAATGGGGCATTTCGTTCCCCTCTATTATGCATCTAATTCTGGCGTTGTCGGCGCTGCATTTGGCGCATGAAGATCCCGCTTCGCGCACGCAGTTCATCGCTCAAGCTGACGATCACTTCACTTTTGGGGTCCGATCGGTATCTGCTGTACTGTGCCTTCTGAACACGGAAAATTGTCAGCTAATCTACATGTCTGCGGCCCTCATATGCCTGGTGTATTTCGGTCGTGGGCCCCGTCGCGGCGAGTATCTGGTGTTTAGTGACATCGGCCGATCCGAGTGGCTCATCCTGTTGCATGGCGTGCATTCTATTGTATCGCAAAATCATGATCGCGTCTTCACCGGTGTTCTAGAACCGATTCCGGACGATAGTATCGGCGGTGTGAGTGATGAGTTGCAGGCAGAACTGGACGAGCATCTGCAACAGGTCCGACAAGTCCAGGCTTTTATCCTGTCTCATGTGACCGATGAAACGTCCCGAAGCTTGTTCGAAGCTGCCATAAGTGATCTACTCTCGGCATTCGAGGAAGTGTATAAGATGCGCAGCGCTGGGAAGGATGGCATCTGCCTGATGCATCTGGTGGTGGGGTGGGTGTACCGTCTACGGGCGGAGATGATCTCCCTTTTGGAACAGAAGGACCGGTATGCGCTGATTCTCTTTGGGCATTGGAGTATCTTGTTGGTGTATCAGCGGTCGTCGTGGCTAATGCAGGGATGGGATGCGCATGTGCTGCATGGAGTGCGCACATCCTTGGGAGAGGAAGACCAGCAATGGCTTGCATGGCCGATCCAGGTGATTGAAGGGGAAGTACCTACACATAGCACTTCCAAACTGTAATAGTTCAATAATAACAGACCGCATACTTCCTATGCACATATGAACATTTGGACAACGAATCAACTCGATAAATATCACAAACCCTTCACAAAAATACTATGTACCGTGATAACCCAAAAACAAAAGAAATTATAACGAAATAAAGCACCAGGAAAACATCATTTCCCCCCCTCCTCATCACCAATATCCGCCATGGGCTGGCAATACTCCGCCGCTTCCTGGGTCCTTCTCGCCCTCTTAATCATCGTTCCCGGATGATAAACCGCCAATACGGCCATAGAAATAAACATCAACGCGGCATCAAAGACATAAATATAGACCTCCTGAGTGTTCAAAGGGGACGTCTCATTCGCGCCAAACTGCACCGTCCTGACCAAGTTTCTCAGCATCAACGCCCCGCACGCCACATACAACGCCCACATATACCGCTTCCATCTGCCCGTCAACCACGGATTCTCATTGACCACCCACGTCGGCTCGCGACTCAACCGCACATGAAACGCAATAGCAACCCACACAAACAATAGGAAGATCACCAGAGAGAATATCAATCCTGCCAGGACGGCTTTGATACCCGTTTTCATGAGATGCTCGTCGCCGGTGATTTGCACCCCGGCACCGACCATCTGCGTTAGAAAGCAGATGACGTCGTTAAGAACGAAGATCTTTGTGAGCCATTTGGGGCGGATGACGGAGTGGTGTTCAGCAGCGAAAGCGGCGATCATGCGTCCGAGGATCATGTAGACGGTGGCGGCGATGAAGGGCGGCGCGCAGAGGATGAGCATCTCCTGCAAGGCCCAGGGACCGATGAGCGTCCGGCCTTGATGGGACCAGGCACGGCCATAGTAGCCGAAGGTTTCACCTAATGAGAGATTATGTTAGCCGGATGGGAAAATGGATGGATAGATGTCGTGGTGGGGCTCGGGGCAGTTGATAGGGTAAAGATGGATTCGACGCACATATTCCCCCGATAACTAGTGGTATAAAATATGCAGCGCGGTAAGGAAACATCATGACGAAGTGAACAAGGGTCGCAAGACCGAAAATGGCCATGAAGGCGTATCCGGCTGTCGCGGACGGCGTATAAGGGTAAAAATCGACGTAGGGAGCGGAGCCATTGACGCCGGGGTGGAATTGAAAGTCCATGGTGAAGGCAAAATACAATTCTGTAATTTTAAGAACAGTTGGATGGGTGCGAGTCTCATCATCCCAAGTTCTGGTTTGATGTTCTTATATTTAAGAAGTCCCTGGAGGAGAGCCATGGTGGTATTACCAAATCGGGTAATTCGTGAGCGAGTACGAGCGGGTGCGCGATGAGTTTGTTCGGCGGGACAAGAGTGGGGAGGGCTAATTTTAGCTGTCGGCGTTACAGGGACAGGGACCACGAAGATAAGCATCTTCCAAGATTCGCACTGGTTGCGTGTGTGTTTCATCGTTGCCTATGGTCCTGCATATCTTGCTCATGGTTGCACTGTGGCGAATCTCTTCTGTGGGTAAATGCGAGGCGCTATAAGGCAGCGATGAATCCTTCTAAGAGATGAGGACCCTCATGCACGCAAACTCTGTATAGTGCTCGATCTACTTTGTTGCTAGATTTATTGGCAAATAGCTCACGACAGCTAGAGCACTGCCGATCATCTCTACCGGTTCCAGTACGTCTACGGATACGTACGAGAATATTGCAACAAAATTAGAAGAAGTCTATTCGAGCGGCGGTACGCCTCAGGGCACGAATCCGGAAGTCTAATCTAACACGCTAACTCCAGAATGGCATCAATCATAATGCGTCTATTTGCCAAAGACCTTGAAGCGGTCCTCCAGGGGCGCAAACGCCTTCTCGCCGGGCTCCGAGGTAGGGACGCCGAAGACCAGCTGAGCGTCGAGCTTCCATGAGGCCGGCAGGTTCCACTGCTTCTGGATCTGCTCATCAACGAGCGGGCTGTAGTGCTGCAGGTTGGCACCGAAGCCCTCGGACTCCAAAGCGGTCCAGACTGGGACGAGAGTCAGCAAGTGATGATGATGAGAGATGGTAAGGACCGTTATGGACCGGTAGGAATATTGTTAGGTGGTAGATGACTTACTAAGGTACTGGGACATGGCATTGGACTCCAGGGCAAAGGGGTCAAACTTGTCGGCGTAGATGGCGAACTTCTCCTTGATACCGGCGAGGGAGTCATAATCGACGAAGAAGAGGACCTACTGTTGGTTTAGCTGGATGATCCGGTCAATCCAAATTATAGGGGCAAACAGACCGTTCCGTAGCCCGCGCGGAAGGCTTCAAGCTTGGGCTTAGTCTGGTTCTCAAAGTTCTCCTTGGGGAGGGTGCCAGCGGCAACCAGACCCTCCATGGCAGCGATAGCGATGTCCCAGACCTTCTGGTGCTCCTCCTTCAGCAGCAGAACGACGCGGGAAGTCTGGGTGTTGAAGGAGCTGGGCACGTGCAGGACGGCGTTGGCGACGATGCTCTCAATGGCATCGTCGGAAATGGGGCTCTCGGCCTTGAGGCCGTAGTAGGTGCGGCGGGCCTTGACCAGCTCCAGAAGGGAGGTGGTGGCAGGGTTTTTGAATTGCGGCTGTGTGGAACCCATTGTGGGAGTATTTATGTCTAAGTAATTGATTGATGGACTGAAATCAATCGGTATTGAGAGTTATTTTGGAAGGCTGACTTGAATGTCAAACTTGACGTCGGGGCTGGACTACTGCTTATATAGATATGCGGTGTGCTGCGAAGAGGGGTTTTGATTTAACCCCGCCAGCCCGGTGGGGAATACATTTCCATTCTATTGAACATTTTCATCTTCTTCATATTTTTCATTATTATCAATCTCACTTACCGTGGCGTGATTACCATGCTCGACCAATCAGGATTTGTAAGCCGGAGGGGAGAGACCCTCACTGATGCTTGGGAGGATTAATCAGCTCTTAGCAAGACGCGGAATTAACTAGCTGCCTTCCGCCGGAATATGGGTAAGCAAAGGTGCATTTGTCAAGCCCTGCGCACATCTTCTGCTGTAAACTTCCATCTCTCTCTCTGTCAATCATCATGCTGTGAAATATGAAATCAACAAGAGGGATGCATGAAGGAATGGCTTGATTCGAAGCCAAGCACGTGAGGACAGTTAATTGATGCCTGAGGTGTCACTACTCTTAGGACCACGTGATCGGGACTTCTTTCAGCCCGAGAGGGCACATGGTGGATTGATGCCTCAGGCAGAAGAATGGCTAGAAAGGTTTGGTTATGCCACTAGTGACCTTCTACCCTGAGATTCCCTCTCGGTCTGCTACAGTCATACCAGTCATGTCTCCTGAGGTATCCAAGGCGCCCCACCTGTCTGGTGTTGGGGCCGGCGTAGGTTACCACTACTACGGAAATTCATCCCTATTTTAGCGGTTGCCCGACGGGGATACATCAACATGTTCATTCGGAAGATAGAGAAGGGGTTGGGAAGTGTGGCTTGTCGGTCTTTGTAACACCAACGCCTATATCCACACAAGATTTGTTTGTTTTACTAGACATGGTTCATCATTGAGAAACTGAAAGATGGCGAAGTCAGAAACCAAAGACGACATCTGGTACATGAAAATCGACCAAAAAATAATCAGAAGGAATAAAAGAGGGAGAAGAAGAAACGAAAAATGAAAAATGGCAACAACAGATGAGAGTACAAAAGTACACGAAGATAAGAAAAAGAAAATTTGACAAAAAGTATACAAGGTACCGACGATGATTACATCAAACCAAAATCGTAACAATGACCGTTCCTGCATGGGGTCGATCGAACCCTTTTTGTTTCCTATATATGCGTCCCCGTTCCACTCTTCCTTGGTAATTTTCTTTGTTACGTTGCCTTAGTTTCGTTGTATATTTCTTTTCCTACTCTTCACCTGTTTTGCCTTCTTCGGCCTGTCTCCCTTTTACACTCACACCCACAGGCACCATTCCCTTCTCTCTCTACTTCTCTTCCCCCGTGAACTTATCATCATCACTACCATGGCGACAACTAGCACCCAGAAGAATCCTTCTAAGCGTTCCCGCGGGAAGGGAAGAGGAAATGGAGGAAACCCCGCTGAATTGCCAGATCCCAGTCCCTAAGCCAGCCATCTACCCCAATGAGATGTACCTTTGTCGACGAGATGAGTATCACGACATGATCAATCATCATAAAGCTGTATTTTGCACCTGCGCCACCCCCAGAGTTGTAGAGGTGACGGTCGGCCATGCTCTTGAGTCGGTCTTTGTTCGGGTGAGAACATGGGCAACCATGTGGGGAAAGGGAGTCACTCTCTCATCTTGCGGATTCAGATAAACAGGCGATTATCGCCAGCTTGGATGAATACTGTGTCCAGGAAGACTTGGATAGCATCCTTCATAGCCTCCCTCCTGCCGCCCGTGCTAATTTCGGATTGATTCTGGTTGAGACAATGCTGAACCAGTTCATCTGTACCAAGTTCATAGATTCTCCCTTCTGGTTCATGGACGGAAAGATCAGTGCCACCGATTCAGAGCCCCAGTCTGACTTCCACAAGAGGTTCCAGTACGTGTACAAGAGGCTCCTACAAGGTCAGTTCATGCATACCACCCTTTTCTTTGCATTTAATTATCATGATCTTTTGGTCTGCTCTTGTTCCTTCGTCCCATCCGTCTTTGTTTCTTACCTCCCTCAAACTTCTCACCGGCAGACAATGCGATTTTACTGACCCCTAACAAAACCACAAAGTTTTCCGCGAGGATGCAGCGTGGTGGAAATCCATCATTGTTGGAAAGCTCAACGATGAACCCTGTGTGATGAATAATATCCCACCCACTCCCGTCGGCCGCAACACAATTAAACATCGCACGGCGCTTGTGAAGACTTACACTGATGAGTTGATGCGTTCCCGGCTCTTCCAGCTCTTGCTTCGAGATCCAGTGACCAAGTACAAACGATCCCAGCGCAAGGGTAGTCTGCGTTTACTCCTCGAATCTGCCGCTCAGACCATCATTCACGGCGATGGTGGTCTCTACGGTAATATGAACATTGTGCGACTGCCAGATCTTCCGAAATTCCACCACTGGTCGGGCCAGATGATCGTCCATCCCTTCCACGCAGGATTTGAACCCGTCGAAGGCAGTCGGGTTTTGATTGTGACGCGGCCAAGCTATAGCTACATCGACATCATCTCCCTCAAACACTTCTGTACGGTGGCCCAAAATATGGTGAACCGTGCCGAAGTACTGGTGGTAGCCAAGGGGAGAAAAGCCCGGGCACTATGGGCAGCTGCTGCTGTCAGCAATGACTGCGAGGACACCGTTGGAATGGACAAGGAGGAAGGAGAGAGCCAGGAAGAGGATGACACGGAGGAGAATGCTGAGCCGGTCAGGGATCTTCCGCCCCCACGAGAGACCATCTGGCGGCAGTAAACCGCCTCTTGAATATCTGGAACTGGATTTTGAGGAACGAAGCCCTGAGGGGTTAGAGTACCCATAGACTTATTGACGTGTTGAGTACATTTTGTCGGTCGAATTCAGTTCTCGTACCACCTAAGTTCAATCCTAGTCCATGTATTGTCTATCTGTCGTGTTCCATCGTGCCCCTTCGTCCCGGAAGTCAGTTTGGTTATTTCCAGCGAGGGGTTGTACATGCTGCCCGCATTAATGGAACGCCAACACCAACCCTCTTCGTAGCCCTTCAACCCAATTAACTGTGAGTGTATTATCCCAAGGCATATTCCTGTAAGTTTAATGAAATTGGAAGAGGGAAAGGAAATCTATATTCGGTTACATTCTAGATACACAGGCGATCGCAATCGAGAATAAGAAAACCTCTATACCAAGAAACCCGAAAAGAAAAACCAGGGAAAAAAGCCACCCACCCTCAACCACTGAACTGTGATGGTACCCTTTTCTTTTGTACCCAGAACAAATATATAAGGAGGTAAAGGCCGGGGAGAGAGGCCAACAGATCCGCAAGTATCATGATGCCCAGCGAGGGATGAGGTCTCTGACAACATGTGTCATCGTCCCTACCTCTGCCACCCGTTGATCCTGAGGGTCCTGCACCTCGAAGGTCCAAACCAATTTAGCATGTACCACAGCGTCAAGACGCCAGAATGCGCGAAGGAGGTAGTGCTTGATAGTCCCATCTGCAGATGTCCAAGCGTGCGTGTTCGGTGGAAAATAGAGTGCCGCGAAGCCAAGGCTTTCAGAGACTAGGAAGTGTCAGTTCGCAAAGTTGATCAAGAGAAAATGATGGATATGGTGTCTACCAACCTCCGGTACTATCATACCGCCGGATTTCGAGGTCACGCACATGCTCACCTTGCTGTATGCTGTAAACGGTACTTATTTCGCCCCTTGGAGGTACACCGTCTCGTGCCTGCACCTGAAAACGCAAAGGCCCAGCTGTCAGTAACAGAAATAATGCTATAAACCCCGCGGGCGACCAGTGCGTACCTCAGTAAAGGCTATACGACGATGCAATCCGTGATGAGGAGCAAGCTCCGTTCCTAGCTCCTCGACGAAGGGGGTGACAAGCTCATAGGTATGTTTCCCCGAATACTCCATGGGATGGGTGATGGTCCCCCCCTTGATGGCTAGGCCGTGGGCGACAGCGGTGATGCTGCACCTTGAAAGTTAGCTGCTGCTGCTGCTGCTGGAGACAGGGACGATGGGAGCGGGGGGTAGAACATACGCATCATTGCCGCGAAAGGAATTCATAGGTACTTGGTAGATTGTGGGATACCTGGTAGCAAGCATGCTACTTAGCCTTCCTTGCAGATAACCGGATCGACTCAATCCACCAACTATGGCAATCTTGCTGGGATTCCAGTTATCGATGAGGGCTGCCACTCGGTCCTGGATCTGGGTAACAACAGGACCCATGCTCTGCTGGAGGGCATCCTGAGAGAAGATGAATCTGCCCTCTTGCTGGTCAAAGGCGTCGCGTTGTTGACCTCGAAAGTGCCGGGGGAGATACCATGAGTCAAAATTGAGGTCGACACTGACCTCGCTTTGGCCGTCAAAGTCGTGTTTGGCTGCGATGGCCGCCTCCAACCCGACATGCATGACCCTTCCCGATCTTAATGGCCGTTGTAGGGTTTCCCGAAGATGGCTTAACAACGATTGGTCGATTCTGGGGTTAGCACAATCCGCTTTACTGTCCTCGTCATATCTCTGGAAAAATAGACGATGAGGTTCGGTCGGATGCACCGCAACAACATCCAATGCAGTAAAGTCCTGCCCAAGTTAAGTTTATTGATGATGAATCAATCGTCGGAAATCTTACATTCGTTAGACCACCCAGGTCGCAGACCAACACGCGGTCTCCTGGTTGTGCCAGCGACTCATTCCTCAGTCGGTTTGCCACAGCAATGGCCGCAGCCAGCCCTTCGGTCGCAAAGTAGATCCGACCTTCGTTCTGTCGGAAACCGGCCTGGTTGATGGCGGCCTCCATAAGAGCCAGGCCCTCTGCGCCCCAACAAGCCGGCAAGGAAAAGTGCCAGTCAATGTGTGGTAGGTTTCCGGTTCCCAGTTCACGCAGGATTTCGGGGTCGTTGCGAAAGGCGTCTCGGATATTCGACAGAAAGTGTGAGATTAATCTCACCGTCGCAGGGCGGTTTTCATAATTGAAAGCCTCTTCACCGCCGAAAAGAGCATTCAAGTCCAGTCCTGCAACTCGAACCTCAGGTGCCCCCTCCACGAGCATTTTGGTCCAGGCGTATCGTGGACTTTGGTGTAGCGCCTCCTCTCCATATGTTGACTGCTGATCCTCGCCGTTGGGGTAGGCTAGAACTGAAGGGATGATGCAGGAAGTTGCACCAGGGGGCGTCCACTCCACGGACCGTGCTCTCATCGCGTCCCAGTAAGTCACCACTGTGAACAATGTATTAGTATGGCGTCCAGCGAAACAAAGGGCTGAATGAATCAAAACGAAAACATAGAGAGCTGCGAAAAGGAAGGGCTGTCACTTGCCGGTCTTCGTGACCCCCTGATCAATACCCACAGGCAATCGCCGGTTGTTCATTTCAAAGAACGAATTTAGGGGTACAAACGAGAAGATAAGAGAAGAGTGAGAAACAAAGAGTCCAGTGAAAAGAATGACTGTATAAAGCGGGTCAAACAAGCTGTATGGTTTAATCGAAAGGATGGAACCATGGAATGAAGAGGGAGGCATCCAAAGCGGTCCTTGACCTTTTTATATTCTGTAGCCTCTGCTGGCATGAATGTACAATATAGAACTCAACACATTAAACATGTTCTATTCCAGTCATTCTGTCTCTCCTCCCCTCATCTCCTCTCTCTCTTTCTCTCTCCCCATCCCACTTCCCCCCTTCTCCTTTTGTGTGTGTGGCTGTTGTATGTCTCTGTCTCTAACATTGTAACAGTCATTACATGACAATATAACAATATATACTTTCCTGGCAAAAGCCCTTGCCCAAAACGGCACGTGGACAAAGAAAGTTTTTCCATCCAAAACTATGGGAACTCAAAGAGGGAAGTCGGAGGCGCAGTCTAGAAGAAACACTGAATAACAAAGAGAACAGGAGAAAAATATGGGCTGCGATATAATCCTCCCAAAAAAGAGGGTCGATATAAAAAGATACAAGGAATTGGAATCAGAGGTCAAGTTATTGAAGGAGCAATGTTTGTAATAAGGCTCAAATGGGCAAAAGAACCAAGCTGAAGGGCCCAGCTGAAGGCACAACCGAGGGATAAAATACTAGGGTTTATAATTACTCCGTAGTAAGGAAGCAGTTGTAATCCAATTTATTATTATCCTTTTCGTATGCCTTTGCCCGCCAGTCTTGTGACCAAGGTGTTCGTGTCTTCGTATTCTGTGTTTCTCATCTTGTTCCCCTCTCCATCTGCAGATCCTAGGCAGTTGAATTCAGTCTTTGATTCTCCCTCTGGTCTTTCCGCATTCCATTCTTACTCTTTCTCTTCGTCTGGCACCCTTCGTAATTGTTGACGCATCCTCTTCTATCGGATCGACAATTCTCCCTCTGCTGCCACACCATGGTCCCCCGTACGCGGCGGTCCGAGACCCTCAAGCGTGCTGCTAGCGTTGACCCCGAACCCGCCCGCCCGGGCGATGAGACTCCCCCGGAGTCAAAACGCGTCTATCCTACCGATTACTACTTCGGCACACGCGAAGAATATTCTGATTTTTTCACGCAGCTGACAAGAATGTCAAGCGCGGCCCTTTTCAGAAGAGGTTACCCCGAGCTTATGCATGACGAATTCAATCAACTGCACATCTCGCTGAGGAATTGGACTTGGACCTTCGGTGTAACCGAGGAGGAAAGCCATCTCTCTAAAGATGACAAGCAGGAGATTATTGCTAGTCTCAAAGGTCAATGCGTCCAGGAAGACTGGGACAGTATCAAGGCTCTCTGTCCTCCTGCTGCTCGTAGGTCATTATGTGATGTCCTCCTCGAGGCAATGCTCTACCAATTTATCTTCGTTACGCTCATCGACTCCCCCTTCTGGTTCATGGACGGCAAGATTGATCCTACTGACGTGGATGGCGACCCTCAGTTCCATCGGCGGTTCCAGCATCTATACGAGAGGCTCCGGGCAGGGAACGGCTTTGGTGCGGCATGGCTAAAGTCTGCTGTTATCTCTGAGTCTAATGCGCAAAACATCCATGGTGGCACGGTTGAAGAGATGGAATTGGCCAGGTGCAACTCTGCCCGGCGCAAGGCGTTGGTGATGCAGTTCAGAGACGAGCTGCTTGGGCGTCGGGTCTTTCAACTCCTTCTCCGCCCTTTGGAGAGTGAGGCAGAAATAGCTCGCCGCAGTGGTGGTCTCCACAGAATTCTTGAGCAAGCTGTTTACGCGGTCATCTACACTGAAGGAGGGATCTACGGCAACTCTGTGATATACAGGTTACCCGACCTGTCTGTCTTCAACTACAACTCGGATAACATGGTCGGCCATACCTACCATGGTACCAGTTCCAACCGCACTCCAGACTGGGCAGCTGCTCCAGGGGGTCGAGTTCTCATCGTCACTCGTCCGGGCCTCACTTACGTCGATATAGAATCGTTTGGTCAGCTCGGCAGGCGTCCTCCTTACCGATTATTGCCGGCGAAGGTGGTGGTCGAGGTGATCAAGCAGAAGCAGGCCAGTACCAAATCCAGGCCCAAGACCAAGCCCAAGACCACCTCCAGAAACAAGTCTACAAAGCCTTCCGGGCCTGATCTCCAGTCCAACTCCATGCCCGAAACTTCCAAGTCCGCGTCTACGTCTCAAGCCGCCAGCGCGCCCGAAGTTGAGGACAACACCACACCCAGCGAGAAAGATGAACCCCTTGGGAAGTTAATCCCACCGTTAAGGAAGAGCTTTTGGCGGGAATGACCAGTTAATTGTTACTAATTGATTTTCTTTATTTCTTTCTTTCTTTTCTTTTCCCTCCTCCT